CTTTCTCAAAATCACATAAAGCCATATTATAATATCGACTGAGATAAAGAAGAAAATGAAATATTAAAATCATGATGTATCTCGCTGCATTGCGCGAGTACGCTTCTAGTATGATATAATTCATAAGAAAATGGGTGTCATAAATGCACAATTAATACACATTCGTCAATATTTTATTTCACATTACAATCTTTTTATTTGCCTGAAAGAATGGTAATTATTTTGTTCTGAAAATTAAAATATTATGAGATATTGTTAATTGAATTATCAAATAATTGTAAATCAATTACAATAATTAAATTAATATAATAATTAAGATATAATTTTTTTATTATTAGTAATTGAAATATTTTTAATAAAATAACTTTAAAAAAGCATAAATGAATCACAATTAATTTCAAATTAAATTTCATTTTTGGCCTATTTGATTTACTCAAAAGCTGATTCGTCTTTCAAATGGTCATTAATCGACAATGTTGATTTCAAGGACTTTGAGCGTTAAAAATAAAAAATTAAATATCTTTAGGGTAAATATTTGGTTTTAGAAATAAAATCCAAAATTTAAGCAAATTATAGGAACCACGAGTGTAATTCCCCAGTAATATCAATATACATGATGGATATATTGCAATGTTGCATATTTTTACTGAGTTAATAATGTGTTTCGTCAATATGGTTTATATATTTTATTGAAGTCAAAATAGATCCAATAGATCCTACAATGTAATAGAAAAAATATTAGAATCAGTTGGGGACCTGAGAGGCAGTGGTTCGAAAGTAAGTAAGGGGCCGTTTACCAAAAACTTGCTCAATAAGTGTTTACCGGTAAAATTTAACGTTATTAGTTACTTATCGGGTAATATTTTAGTCTACCAAAACAACATCAAATGCAATAATTTACCCATGGTAAGAGTTGTCGCTTTCACTTACGGGGTAAAATTCTTGTTTTTTGTCTCGCTCTTACAGAGTGAAATTCTTGGTCCTTGCCACATTCATCTGGTAAGGTAATGTAACATGGTACGCGCTTACTTAAGTAAGTGTTTGGTAAACGGCCCCTAACAAAAACTTCCATTTGGTAACTCTATTCAAAATGAAGAAGAATGGTCGTGCTTCTAATGCATCCGGGAAAAACGATTAATCTCTATCAATGAACTTGCCAAAGAAACGAACCATAAAGTACTTGGTATAGGTGTCACGAAAAGATATGGTTTTAGATCATTCCAGTGCATTTCGTCCTCTGAGTCAGAATAAGTAACCAAAATTCCTTTTGTTTATCGTATTTGTCCTTCTTTTCTATAAAGTTACCATAGTACAATTAACCTCTGGATTTGAAATCACTGCTTATATATATATATATGGCATTGGCTTTCTTCCACATAAAAGAGATAGCGTAATTAGGTGGTATACATATATCCATTTATAATATTTGGGACCAAAATTTGTTTACACATTACCTAACAAACTTATCCACCTCCTCATCTATCCCATACACGAGCTATTCATGAAAACCGCTACCTCCTTCCTTCATCGAAGATAAACACAAAAGTGGAAAAACGCAAGAATTGATATATACACCAATAACTGATGTAAAAAACCCATTACTTGATTTTACCTATAGAGATCAGAACTTACATCACCTCATTACTTGATTTTATCTAACAATCTAATAACTACAACCCTGTTAGTTTTCGGTAATGGATTTTGAAGCAAATAAAAGTTCAACCAGTTGTTAAACACGTAGATTTTGTACAATTTGTTAGTTTTTTTGTCTTTGCAAGCTTTGAAGGCCATAGATCGTGAAGGGTGTGGGGGATGTCAGATGGTGAAAAAGTGGAGAGAGATCAAATATGGTGAATGAGATGTGGTTAGTCCCGAGATAGGGGAATGTCGGAGATAGTGACTGACGCTAGTACGGGGTGACAAGGGAAGACCGTATATGACGTGTCATTGTTAGATGTGGTAGGCCAGAAGAGGGGGAGACCGTAGATGATGCTTTTTTTTTGTACATATATATGTTCACCGTGTAAGGCAATGTAACTTGATAAGTCGTTACCAAATAAACGTATTGTAAACAACCTTTGATTATGTTTTTCAATGAAATTAGTATTATATTGACATTGATCATTTTCTTTGGATTCACAATAAATGTATTATAAATTTATTATGATTCTTAAAAGGTATTCTATGAGATCGATAAACACTTGATACATTCTCAATTGAGTTTGATGCATGCTCGATACATGATAGACGATCAAAATGACAGTGACCATGGAGGACCAAAGATACGTCCAAGGCCCAAAAGAAATAGGGACCAAATTATTTTTATATATACTATATGGTAGTAGTTCAAAAAAATTAATAGATAAAAGAGACAATTTTTTTAATATCTAATGTGATCCAAAAAGAATTTATTATCATATTTAAGAGTCCAAGCATGTATTAACTGGATTGATGATAAAATAGAATCATAGGTTGCAAAAGGTCGTGATTAGATATGCATATGTTTGGTAAAGAGAATAATCTGTCTTTCATGGCCACATACCTTTCCGACTAAGGAATGAGTAGTTTTATCGAGATTAGAAGCAAATTGTGCAAAAGAACATGAAACAGTAAGCTCCCAAGCAGTGGGAGAAGCCCGAGGCTCCGACCAATGAGCACATTGAACTATTCATGTGGTTGAAAGTCCTCACAGCCCAGGCACAACGACCCCCGCCCACTTCGACATGGATTCACAACTCTTCATGTAGAAACGTCCTTCATTCCTCCTTTTTGTTCCTCAACCTACAGGGCTATGAATGACCCAGTAGCGAATACTGGTAATAATATCGGCTACGTGCCCTCTTAGGTTTAGAGGAAATAATATATACATTGGAGAAGAAAGTATTTATAAAAAATTATTAGTTGTTCATTTTATAGTGTTGTTTATTGTTTCTTTGAGTATTTTATCTACTACTAAAATCTAAAATTAATTTGCCTACAAAACATTGATATATTCCCCATCATTCATCTCTCACCAACTCTTCTAATTATTCCATCTGCATGAATTTTATTTTTGTATTATTATATAGTACATTTCTTGTTATTAACTCAGAAAACTTATACCTTTTAAAAAATATTATCAACCATATGAGACGATCTAACTTATATCTATATTTAAAATTTCAAAACTACTATTGTTTTTCATAGTAGAAAGAGAAAGTTGTATTTATCTTCAAAGATTAAAATAATTGAAATGGAATGTTACACTAAAAGTAAATGACAACTATAATGTTTACACTAAGGAAAATACAAAGGGAAATTACAAAGCTTGAATACAACTTTTAAGCACATAAATCCAACACTAAGATTATTGGTTTCCTAAAAAACTATGTTAACCCTAAAAGTTTAAAATGGTGATAAAAACATAACATGATAGTGACATATAAAACCCATTTGATTTAGATAAAATGTTACTTTAAATAGTTAGCATTTTTTTTTTCTCAAGTGATGTCAATCTATATAATAAAGTATTATCATATAATGTGTTTGGTAGGGAAACTAATTTACAATGCTATGCTAAAATGATAAGGGGGTGTTGTTTGCCTCTTAATCATTAAGAGGTTTGCCTCTGAATGGCTTAGAGGTTATCTTTGTTTAGCTGAAAAAAAGGAACATCTGAATCATTCAATAATCCTCTGACCTATTTCTTCTTAGGGCATCTCATACCATTCAGAAGCCTCCTTGTTACTAGATTGTCCTCCCACCCTCTCCTCTCATGCATCTTCTCATCTCGTCGATTTCCCTTAGATTCATTGTTGCTTATCACCTGTTTCTAACATTTTCATCGATTTCTTTATTTTCTACCGCAAAAATTCCTCTTTGATTTGATATGTAGTTACATTAGTATGAAATTAGTAGTGTTGAATGTCATAATTATTCTATTCCATACCATGCAATATTTGTCAGACATCTCTTAAAAATCATTATTCTCACTTACCAGATAAAGCTCTACATCCAAACTTGACATTTCTTATTACCTCTACGTTCAAGATTGTCTTATTATAGGTTCTCTATTTTTTTACAGCATTAAACACTGTAATTTATTTGAAGTGTCTTTTGCCTTGTAAAAACACCTATGCATTATTTGGTCCATTCGAAGAATAATGAATTTTACCAAATGAAAATAATGAAAAAAGTAAATAATGATCAAACCTCCCAAGTAGAAGGAAAAAATATCAGCTGTAGGTAGCACTGAAAAACAATATCATCAAATTTTATGGATTTTTAAAATAAACAATTGCAATTAAAAACAGACTACACAGATTTGGTTCCAGATACTGTTCATACCGACATGAAAGTATCCAGAAGGAAAAAAATGATATCAGATTGCTCAGTTAACCGCTCAGATCGACATGAATGTCGACGTTTCACAGAGCTTTAACACTCTCAAAAGATTCTCATTGATGTTCTCATCATAGCAACCGTATCAAATAAATATATACCTCAAGAAAAAAAATCAATCTGCTGACGCCTGATCTGAATCTTCAGATGCTAGCAATATTACAAGCTATTGAATTCAAAACATGACGATAACATGGATATAAGTAGAAAAAGAAGGCGATAAGATCAGGCTGCTCAGCTAACCGCTCAGATCGACATGAAAGTCGACGTTTCACGGAGCTATAAACTCTCAAAAAAGTCTCATTGAATTTTTCATCATTGCAACCAGATCAAATCAATCACAAAAAACTTAATTTTATGCATCAAATTAGAACGAAAAGATGAGAAAAACAATCAATGATACCGGATCTGAATCCTTCAATTTCAAACTATACCACAAGCAATTGATTTCAATAGCGAAACGCTGAAACATCCATCTAGGGCACGTTTTGGGGCCGCCACCATTACATGATTTGTTAAGGGGATGGCGAAGGTTTATATTACAAAAAATGTTACACTTAGACCCTCGTACTATTTCGAGTGTTTAATTTGGCAACAATGCTGCTTCCAAACTCCAAAAAAAGTTAAATAACTAACATATGTGGATAAATGGGCCTAGGCCCAAACCCCATCCTAAACCTAATTCACTGACCTAAAAGGCTAACCCGAGGCCCGGTTTATCAATCCATTTCGGTTTGATAACAAAAGTTTAAAAAGATCAACATAACGAATTAAAATGACAAGACCATGCGATCGTTTATTCGATAACATCTTCAATTGTAACGAACAATTCATGCCGTCTACCATCGGGCAAAAGATTGTTTAAAGACGTATTTCAACCTTTTTGTTTGAATCATACTTTTCCGCATCCTTCAATGAGAATATGAGATGTATGCATGTTATGTTAACTAGAAGGGTATTCGCGCAATACAACGAGTTATATCTCGATTTTAATCTTTTCATTTTGTTCCTTCTCTCTAGATGTTATAATACGGTTTTTATATGTTTTGAGAAAGGGATAATGTTTTTATTTTTTAATAAAATGTAAATTTGAAGATTTCATAAAATTTCGAAAATAAATATATCAATATTAGTATCAAATATATTTAAAAGTTCTTTTTTTGTGTAGTTTTTTTAGTTCAAATTTTTTATTATAATTTATTTTTGATTTAATAATATAATCTATACTATATTATAAAATTTTGACAAAAACTCTTAAAAACATCTTTTATATATGAAGTATTGTTTATTGATGCATATTACTTAAATTTCAACATTACAAGTAAATTATGCGTAAGTACAACTTATTAAGCTTCATATTTGAATTCGTGAAACTAACTGTACATAAATATACTCAAATACATGATAAAATTCTTATTTTAAATATAAAATCTAAAATATAATTTGAATAATTATTGAGTTATAACATAATATTTAGTTATTATCAAGCATAAATATAATTGCAAAAATTGATCATGCATCATCTGCATTGGCTCAAAGACAATGACGAATATTGGTGAAAGAAATGATGTCATATAAGAATCTACGACTGACTTCATACGTTTCATTGTCATTGACGATAACGAATGAATCAACCTATTTGTAATCAAATAGGATGGATGAGAACGAAACTTGATCTCAAACGTGTATTCCCGGAAGAGCTTTCACTCACCCAAAATATTGACATGATCACCTCCAATGGCTCGTACGACAACAATGTGCCACTCTACATAACAGAAACTGGATTTATATGACCCCCGAGACCCAAAAGAAAAGGCAATAAATACACTAATAGTCTCTAAACCAACTTAAAACCATAATCGAAGTTATTGATAACCCACGACTTATGGTTTTTAAAGAGTTGTCGGATCTCATCACGCATTAATATGGGATGATTATCACAAGCAATCCACTATAACAATTCTTGACGTCCTCATCAAGCCTACCCAACGACGTCTTTATTTGATGATAATGTAGGATTCATCGAAGATGTTACAACATCACACGCTAATAGATCCATTATGTTTGATGAGGTTATTTCAGTTATATAACGTTCAACTCTGATACCATTTTGTAGCGCATAATAACGCAAAAAAAATGGAGAATCCCAATAACATTTAGGGACCATTTTCCAAACGCTTACCCGGGTTATAAGCGCTTACCAAGTAACTATTACCTCACCGGATGAATATTGTAAGGATCAAAAATCTTACCCGGTAAGAGCGAGACAAAGACCAAGATTCTTACCTAGTAAGTGAGGCCGGCGACTCTTACCATGGTAAGCGCTTACCGAGTAAATTGTTGCATATAATGTTGTTTTGGTGGACTAAAATCTTACCCAGTAAATAAATAATAGTGTTAAATTTTACCGATAAGCACTTACCGTATAAGTGTTTGGAAAACGACCCCTTAATTAAACTTCCACCATGCTTTGATACTTTTGGATCATAGAAGGGTCTCTCTTTGACAATTTCCCTTTTCAATTCAATAATTAGCCATAGTGTTGAAGATGAAATAACACTATAAAAGATGTCTTTTATATATGGGAAAATTTCATAAAAAACCCAATGAATTATCTCATTTTGAATGGATTAAGTTTCTGAAGTATTTTTGTGAATGAAAAAATCTTTAAATTTTCTCATTTTGAATGATCAAATCATTCAACTATTGTTTCGAATGATTAAGTTTCTGAATTATTTTTGTGAATGAAAAAATCTTCAAATTTTCTCATTTTGAATGATCAAATCATTCAACTATTGTTTCGAATGAAAAATCCATCAAACTTTCTCATATTGAATGATTAGGTCTCTAAACATTTTCTTTGTAATAAATAAATCATCGAGCTTTTAAAAACTGGTTATCTACATTTTTTAACAAAAAAAAAAACTATTTGAAACCGACTAGAAATATCGTAAAGTAAAAAAAGAAACCTAAATCAATTATACTGTTTTCAAATACTATGCCCTTCAAACCCCTCGCTAACAGCGGTATCACTCCCCCTTGTCACTCACTGTCGCTCCATCGTTCCCCATTCGTCATATCACTTATCACACTATTCGTCCTGCTATCGATCTCCGTTTTTCTTATTATCTATCCTAGGGGGTTGGAAGTAGCTTTTTTACTTTTAAAACGTTTTTAATTTGTTATAAGTAGTTTTTACGGGTTAAAATGATGTAAGTAACCAAATTTTAAAAGTACGATGAGTTATTTTATTGAAATTTTTTGATAGGGACTTACATTTAGAATAAGAGAGTTTAATATTTTTTTTTTCATTTAAAAAATAGTTTGGGAACATAATCATTCAAAATGAAAAAGTTTAATGATTTTGTCATTCAAAAACAGCTCAATACCTTGATCATTCAAAATAAGATGGTACATTGAGTTTCTAGAACTTCCCCCCCCCACACACACACACGTGTGTGTGTGTGTGTGTGGAGAGAGAGAGGGGCATAATCATTTGTTAACCAAGTAAATAGTATTAACTTTGTCATCCGATCCAAGCCTTTCATTTTATTTAATTAGCGGTTCTGCTTGATGAGATGTTATAATAAAATAAAAAATGAAACAAATTAAATTGTATTAAATGAATGGCATTTCTAGAACAATTTGTTTTTATTTTTGGAAGATAATTATATTTTATTTTTGAAAGATAATCAATGATATTATTTAATGATTTTTAATTTTTGGTAGATATTTATATTTACTTTCAAAAAATAATCAATAATAATATCTATATGATTTTTGTTTGAAGATAAAATTAAAATGTTTATAAGTGAAATCAGAAAGTGAAACAATGATTTTTGTATAAAGTTCATATGTGAAGGGGTGCTCAAAAACCCGACCAACCCGATCAACCCAACGCAACCCAACGCGAAATAACTCAATCTGAAGCAACCCGATATCTAATCGAGTTGTAAAATTGTCAAACCGTAGGTATTGGGTTGATATTGGGTTATTATTTTTTGAACCCAACCCAACCCGATGAACTCGATATCCTTTTATTTCTTGGATTTGATATGATTGTTGAATTTCTATTAATATATACATTAGACAATTACACTATCATGTATACTTTTCATATACACATATTTTCAATTTATTCATATATCTATATAACTCATTCAGTAACTGTGAACATATATATGTAAATTGTGAAAATTAACTGAATGCGATATACGTAAGAAATATGAATAAGTTGTATCAAATGGTTGATGATGAAAAAGAAATTATGGGTAGAGAAATAACATATTCAAGGTTAGAAGAATATTTTAATATATCAAAGTATCAACCTGACCAACCCGACCAACCCGTACGGGTTGGGTTGGGTTGGGTTGCACTTGGTTTGGGTTGGGTTGGGTTAAGATTTTTCCAAACCGCAAGCATTGGGTTGGGTTGTTCAAATGTCCTTAACCCGATCAAACCAACCCATGAGCACCCCTATGTGAAGCCATATAATCAAAGTTCATAGGTGAACGAAAGAAATGAAACAATGATTTTTATTTAACATTCATAAGTGAAACTAGATAATCAAAGTATATACGTGAACCAAAAAGTGAAAGAATTATTTTTATCTAAAGTTCATAGGTGAAAGTGGATAATCAAATTTCATGGGTGAAATCAGAAAATGAAACAATAATTTTTATTTAAAGTTTATATATGAAATTAGAAAATAAATGAGATGGTTAAAAAGTTTGAACATGTTTATGGGTGATATATATATATATATATATATATGTATATATATATATATGTATATATATATATGTATATATATATATATAGAGAGAGAGAGAGAGAGAGAAAGTTTGTTTCAAATGCAATCCATCACATTTGTATAACCAATACAACCCAATTAATTGAAATATTTATGGAAATGATGCGAGTTCATTTATTATGATTTAAATATTTATGGAAGATGAATGAGGTTCATTAATTATGATCAATACTTTATATTATAAAACAATCAAAACTTCTATAAAATTACATATTCATCAAATTAAATGGACGGTTGAGATTACATTAACTGTTATTGTTTGAGTTTTGGCTCCAAAAGTCAAAAGTGTCTGGAGGTTTCAGATTCAAATCCAATAAAGAACAAAAATCTTTTTGTGGCCACAGATGTTTAAATGCGGTGACTTCAACCTACCCGCAAAACAGGTGGTCATCCTAAAATTAGTCGGATCACATAACGGTTAGATATACAAGTTAATAAAAGAAAATACAACAAAATCATTAATATTAAATCTTTTATTTGAAAGAGACATGGTAGATTTACTAGTCACCTAATTTTGATGTCCATATATAAAAATAATATATTTTTAAACAAAATAATATTTCAAAAAGAAAATAATGTCTTACAATGATTTGATAGTTTAAAACATCTCTTAATGATAACAAAATAAAAAAAGCTCGAATCAAGTTCCCTAAATCATTTATTATTATTTTTAATAAAATATAAAGAATTAATTATATTCAACTTCAAGCTACTTTATTTTCTAAAAGCTAGTTTATTTTAATAATTGTTAAAAGAGTACTCGGACAATGCAACGAAATACATCTTGATTTTAATATTTAATTTTATTCTTTATCTCAGTCAATGTTATAATATGATTTTATGTGATTTTGAGAAAGCGATTATGTTTTTATTTTTGAATAAAATATAAATTTGAAGATATTATAAATTTTTGACAAAAATATATCGATATTAGTATCAAATTAACTATTTCAAATTTCTCTTTTTGTGTAATTTTTTAATTATAATTTAATTTAGATATAATAACAAAGTAATTTATATTTGCTTTAATAATATAATTTTCTAAGATAAAAATTAATTATTTTGTTAGAACTCGATAATTATTCTAATTATATTTTAGATTTATTATATTCTTAGATGTTTATCTTCTATTTGATTATGTTTATCCGCAGTTAGTTACACGAATTCAAACATGGAGCTTAAATAAGTTGTACTTATGCATAATTTACTTGTAATAATGAATTTTAAGTAATATGCATCAATAAACAATACTTTATGCATAAAAAATGGTTTTTAAGATTATGATATAGTATAGATAATATTAATTATATAAATTAAAGAAAATTCAATACATTTAATAAAATACTATTTGTATCTTCTAAGCATTTAATTTCACTGTCTTTTATCATCAAAAAATAATTAATAATATTATTTCTCTCTAGTCTATGTAATTTTAAAGATTTCTTCAAATTTGAAGATTTACGCTTATCTCTTTTCATTTTTGAGCATCTCCAACAGTTAAGCTAAAATGAAGAAATGATGGATTTTAACAGTGTTTTTGCTCTAACAACGATATTATCTTGTATACTAAAATTAAGAAAAGATGAGAGATTGTAAAAATCTCTAAATTTAGATGAATCTCTAAATAGAGAGATAAATTATTATCTAATACTTCCCAATAATAAAAGATATTGAAAGTAAATGTTTAGCAGAGAGAAATGATATTTTATTAAACGTATTAAATATTTTAATAATATGGTTAATGTTGGGATTGATATAATAGAGTAGCTGTTGGAATTGAATATAATTTTATTTTAGAGAAAATATTGCATAATTGTGAGAAATGCTCTTAACATATCATTTAGTACAGTTGTAATTATTGCTGGAACCTGTAATGCCACCTTCGCATTGATAAGTTCGCAATTATTGCAGACCAACCACGTGGTAGCATCTAAAGAAACCCTAAACAACCAAGTGTCAGGTCCGTAAGCCAGGTCTGTAAGCCAAGTCCGCAATTTTTGCCAAAAATCTCATTTTCACGGTTTTCTTGTATGTTTAGTTACGGTTTTGCACTGTTTTTTTTCATGGGAAATTGAATCAAATGACCATATTCCATAACCAAATTAACCTTCTAACAATTTCTTTCCAGAATTTACCCAAAAGTCACTAGGACCGCAATACCCAAATCCGCAATTATTGAGGGCCCACTAGACGACAAAAAAATCAACGTTTTTTTTTGCCAGACCCGTAACAAATGGTCCCAATTATTACGGATTTGGCCCAAAACTCATTTTCTTATGAAACCCCCAAGGTGAACACTTATGTATCTGGCATTACAGAATAAAGGAAAATGAGTTTTGTGTCGAATTCATAATAATTACGTGTCTGTGGTTTTGGACCTGACAAAAAAACTCTAGAATTTAGTCGTCTAATTGCAAACCTAAATATTACAGATCTAATGACTTTTAGATAAAGTTCGGAGAAAAATGGTTAGAAGGTCAATTTAATTGTAAAATATGATTATTTGAGTTAATTTCTCTTATTAAAACAATTAAAAAATCTTTTAGATAATATATAAAAATAATAATGCCTTTCAGAAAAAAAAAATAGTCAAAATAATTTTCACTTTTTAATATTCGGAGATGTGCCAACCAACCAGATATATTGCGCCACATGCACGCAATTATAACCCGTAATGACGGAATATGCTTTTGGTGCTTCAATCTTTCGCATCCTGACACTACAGTACCCTCAAGTTTACTGTATTTGACAATTATAGCCCTTATAAATGCATCGCTGAAAAACGAACCCCCCACTTGCAAAATTTACATTATGCAAGGCCAATCTCAAACAAGTTCGAAGTTCAAATTGTCTAATTACATCACCTTACCAAACGACATTAGACATGCAACTATGCAAGGTTTGTTTTGGTATCGAGATAAAATAGTTTCGTCCCGACTCCCGAAGGGTTCCAAAATTGGTCAATTCGATTTAAGATTTTTAAATTGAAATTTGTTTGTTTTGATCTGGAATATCTTAAACTAATTAGGAATGATTTGGTTTGTGACTTTTCCTAATATCAGTCATAAAAATGGCATGTACAAGACATCGACATTTTCTTAAACGTTATTTTTATCGTTATTCCTTGTAACAACGCATTAATAGTAGTTCTTATTCATTTTTTATTTCATCAAATTTCCGTTCAAAAAGGTTTTGTTTTTTACTAATAAAAACATTTATTTGGCATAACGAATATTTTTTACTTAAACAAAAATAAAAACGTGAAAGGGGGGTTTTCTAGGAATGGATTGATGTTTGCCAATTATGAAGTAGAAGGTTTGTTTTGCAATTATTCATAAATAGAAGGGTTCTAAATATAGTGTTCCAAACTTGAGGGAAATTTTCTCGGACTCTCCGCCGTAACAAACTATACTTGCCTTTTCTGGCTATAAATGGAGTCGCTCGCAGTCATCGCTCATCAGCTTCACGAACACATCGCCACCGTCATTCGCCACTGCATTTCTGAATCTTTTTCTTGAGGGAGAAATGGGTTTGAAGGTATTTACGCTTTCATACTTATTCTGTTTGAATTAATTAGATCTTTCACTTTTTTTTCCCATTGATATGTGGATGATTCTATTTGATCTCTTGCGTTCATCACTGAATTATGCCTTATTGATGAAATAGCCAATTTCATTTATGTCTGATCCATTAAGCAACGAGATGAATTCGATTATTTCTTCGCAGATCCGTTTTTGTTCATCTTAAAATTTAAATATTCAATCACCATCTATGCGTTTTGGTTATGTGAAATTAGCTCGTTTTTGGGGATCAGCGACTGCTAAAAATTTAGGGATTCCGTTGCTAAATTGCTACTGTATAAACTGAAGGGATTAAAATTAGTTTGGGGAGATATCCTCAGGATCCTTCGGGCCTTATAGCCAATGCGATACTGATGAAATGGAAACTCCATAAAAAAAGCTCCTTTATGCTCATGAGCTATGTCAAAAGAATGGGTTCAATGAATCTAGTTCTTAATAGAATCATGATCATTTGTATATTCTCTAATTGGTTATCCACAATCTACATTCATTGGTCATTATTAGCAGTAAATCTGTACAGAAAGAATATTATGAGTTGAACTATAATTTGTGATGAAAAAGGAATATAAGGATAACTGGTATACAGAAAGCAATTAGAAATTTAGAATGCTCAATTCAATGAAGATCTATTCGCAAAGTAGGCCTGCATATATAGAGAAAGAAGGTTGTATACATGTTTGTGTGCAAAGTAGGCCTATAGTGTTGCTATGTACCCATTGGGGAAGATGCATAACATCTTGTTAAGAGTCCACGTCAGCTAGACTTGGACACTTTGCTCTTATATATGTTGGAACCCTCATTCTCTCTTAAAGAGCTCTTTCAGAGGGTAATATGTGGGTTCCACATATTCTCATATGGAACATCTTCTCCCGGGATTCCACACTTTGGGAGAGTACTTGTCTAGCCTCCTTTGGAAGGGGGCGTGTTAGAGTCTCACATTGGCTAAACTTGGACACTTTCTCTTCAATATATATTGGAACCCCTCCCCCACGTCGTCAAGGGCTCTTTCGGAGGGTAATATGATGGGGTTCCACATATTCTTACACATATGACCTCAAGACCCTACCTCTCTATGTGGGAAATATTGGGTTCGTTTAGTTTGGTTTGGTTTGATTTAGTCTTACTATGTAGCAGGAATCACATGTAGTTATGTCGGACTTTATTAATAATACCCTCGACTACCATAACTTACAGGAGGATTTTGAGGAGCATGCCGAGAAAGCCAAGACTCTCCCCGAGAGTACCACCAATGAGAACAAGCTCATACTGTATGGATTGTTCAAGCAAGCCACTGTTGGACCAGTGAACACAAGTATGTATCTTGCTGGTCAAGTAGACTATGACTAGTAACCATTCTCATGTGTTCAATTACACATTTCTAAAACTGTGTCTTTTTTCATTATGGACATTTATTTTGGGACGCAGGCCGTCCTGGAATGTTCAACATGAGAGACAGGGCTAAATGGGATGCTTGGAAGGCTGTCGAAGGTATTGTTCTGCTATTTATAGAACGATCATCATCATTTTCCATTTCTCTTTGTGCTTGTTAGTTTGCTAATTGTGGGTTTTCCTTATGGCCGGCAGCAAAATCCAAGGATGAAGCAATGAACGACTACATCACCAAGGTGAAACAATTGCTCGAAGAAGCCGCTTGAGTTCAGACAGAACTGCATGCTAATGCTAATACGCATTATGAAAAAAACTTAAGTTTAAATTATTGGTGATTTTTATGTTATGGGACTTCTATGTGTACCATGTCCAGTTATGGAAATGGTGTCTTAATCAGAAATGAAAGTGTTGGATTTTAGCCAGCATGGTTTGTGCCCATTTTGCTCATTCTTGTTGAAGCATTCTAAATATGGTTAAGCACTAACCTCCATGGGTTTCTTGAAAATGGATCTAAGAAGACTGAAACACCTTTCTGTATCATCATCAAATTCAAAACCCCCAAATGATCAACTTTCTGGTTCATCATCTCGTTCATATCTTTTCTTCATGTTGACAAACAAGACGAAAGCTAAAACTTCAAAATCCAAGAAAAATTTAGAGTGAATTACATTTTTTTTTCATACATGCGGTTTCAACAAATTATTTATATATTTTCTTAACATATCACAAACGTATAAATATCAACTAAAAGACAATATCGGAAAATGTTAATAATCATCTTTAGTTACTAATTTGATCGTCCTTGGAGTAGATCGGTTCGGTTTTATTGGATTTCGGAATGGCATCCAAGAAGCGGTCGATCTAATTTGGATGTTGAAATTTTGGATCTGATCCGGTCCAATTACCATTGGATATCTGATTATAACAGGTCGGTTTAAGTAGTGTCAAATACTTTCTACAATTGCCATCCAGCTTATGAGCTAATTTTACCAAACATAATTAGTTTATAAGCTAGCTAATCAACCTAGTCTTCCAATCAATAGTTGGTTTATCAGCAAGTTTGACAGCATTGCTCGAACGATCATCATTGTCTGGTCAACGCTAACTGACCCTTCCTGATCCCGGGCCTCAAGATCGGTCCCTTGCCTCAAATTGGCAGGCACTACAAATATCAAATCTTTTCCTGAAACAGAATTACATCTTAACAACAACCCAATTTACACAGTATTTGCAGTTGAAACCAAAAAAAAAAAAACCATGCACATTTGCGTGGCAAAAAGCATATTCTAGCACAACTTCAAGATTAGACCAAAAGAACATGTACAGATTGAGTTTAAATGGTGTTATTGAAGTTAGAATCTTTCCTGTTGAACAAAAGGATATCTTGGGGATAAATAATACTCATTTACACGCGAAGCCCCATCTCTCGCCAGAATCCCTTCAACGTCTCCAATGATTCTTGCTAACCATATCTCCAAATTTCTCTGAATATCCCGGAAATTGGTTCGTATGGAGCTCAAGGACAGACTGGTGGTTAATCGGGCACGGCCTTCCACCAGATCATTCCCATAATTACACCCCATCCCTGTTTCCGTTTGCAATGCCATCAATTTCTGCCCTGTTTCAGATGCACGCTGCTGTAGCCGAAGCGCTTCCAGCAAAAACTCCGTCTGTCTCTGTGTGCGGAACTCTAAACCCGCATTTGGTTCACAAGGATCATTCTCCTGCTGTCATATTAAACCGTAACTGTTTTTCAGAAAGAACAAAAAGTGTACACATTCACTTTAGTAGTCATAGATGTATGTGTGTGTGTACATATATGTATATATAGGGTCGCTTCAGGAAAACCATAAAAAAAATGAAGTGAGGAACACCCTAGTAACCATTCATCTCTACAGTATGCACATATGTTTACAAGTAATTTGTAAGTAATTTTTCCGGTAAACACACGTGCATAGAAACCAAGAAACATCTAAAATTATTTGTATGCACAAGTGCATATGCGCGGAGCCGGAGCGTGGCATGTTCGCCCGCTGGGCCGAGTGTTCGCCCGCTTCAGAGTAGAGATGAACGGTTATTAGGGTGTTCCCCATGCTTACCTTTTTCCCGTTATCATTCATTAGAATCTTAATAATAACATTCGTCTAGACCACAAAATTCTTTTATTTGTCACTATTGGTGGGTATTTTAGATATGGCTAGGTTTGGTAAATAAGCTAGTCACATTTGGTAAAAACTAACTGATAAGGTAGATCACAAGGTAAAACCAAATATAAGGGGCATTTATGTAAAATATAAAGGGCATAATGGGGAAAAGTGAAAAAAGAACCCCGGTAATTTATCTAAAGTAGCTTTGAAAAAAGCTAACTTTGTTTACCAAACAAGGCTTTTTCAACAAGCTCAAAATTTATGGTTGCTAAAGTGGCTTTACGTTAAACAATGTAAGGGATAGTGACATATGGGTTGGGTTCCGGTGAGAAGGAGAGTTAAAGTGAGAAGCGTAAAAAGGGATCTCCATCCTTGGATGCACATTATGATGAGATGCACCGGATCAATCCCCGTATCAAGCGATTCGTGGGTGGGTTTGAGATTAAAGGTGATCAAGGGTCCAGATCCCTTCTTACGCTTCTCACGTTAACTCTCCTTCTCACACGAGCCTTCGCTAGTGATATATCATATAGCATTATGTGTACAGCCAAATAACACAGCAAGAAAATAGAGTAGAGTTGAGTTGTTACCATTCTTCTACAAAGATCGTCAATTTTTCCGGCAAGAGCTTGATATCTTTTTGCCTGTTTTCTCATTAGCGATGGCACCTTTGACAAATCATTTGCACCAATATTTTCCAAATTTTGGAGCTCTTGTTCGAGCAATTTTAGTTTTGTGGAAACCCCAGATGAATCACCATCCACCTTCCAAGGAGACTCTCTCCTGATCAAGAAAGATTGTTTTAATTTTGATATGTTTTCAGGAACAACCGTGTCTAAAGAGATTGATTACCTTGTTACAAATTGCTTCATATCATGAACTGGTTCAACGGATTCATATTGTGCCCCCTGCAGAAATCAGTGTTCGGAAAGTCAACCCTCTTGGTCCACAATAATCTGGTTCACATAGACCATCAGCGCATTCTACATGATACCGTTTATTACTCCAGATGTTTATGCTAATTTTATAATGCTACAAATCATTGACTATTTAATAAGTTTTTCGGGCGTATATGAAACCAGTAGCCAGCCCCGAAAAATACCTCGGAAAGTACTAGGTTTTGACTTCCAAAGTCAAACGTCGACCTTATCTTATGGAATGAATATAATATTTAAGGTGTTGAATTTTGAAGTCTTATTGATAAGAGGTCGGGCTGAAGTATGAAAGCATTTTTGTAGACAGATAATCATCTAAATATGTGTAATTGTCTATTTTACCCCTCGGAGATCAAGTTAGACATAATATATCCATACAAAAGGACGAAACCATGCCCTCAACAGTGAAGATACTCTGGCTTTTAGTGTGAAAAAAGTTGTCTTGCCTCTTTCGACATCCGTCTACTTACAATAATTGACTTCAAATTAAAAATAACTTCACCAGTATCCCTTTGTGAGCACCTAAAAAGGTGGTTGTGGGTTCGAGAGTGTGTGTGTGTTGACCGTTTCAAACAAAAGAAAATGCCTACAAGACCCCACAAGAAGACTAAAAGAACTAAAGACTTCCAATTAATTTGGTTCAAGCTTTTTAAGTCTGATCATAAAAGAGCAATAATGAAAGATTTCATGGGCACTGGTTGCCATTCATGAAGTGGTCCAACTTTCATTCAAAGTGCAAAAAACTGTAATTGATGAAATCAACCACCACCACCACCAAACAGAAAAGGGGTTTTGTATTCATCATCCTAAACTCACAACTATCTTAGACAAATATCTTATCCAAGATGTTGAGTTTGATATTTATATAGAGACAAGAAGCCAACCTGTGGTTGATAAAGACTCAAGATTAAAGGTGGCATCTTAAAGATACATATAATCATCACTAAATTACAACTAAAATCATCATTCATCACTAACAGCTAATCTACAAATTGGGTTTAGCTCGAATCTTGAAACGTAATTGGTCGATTTTTAAGAAGGGTTTAAGGATAATACTCAAGAGTCATACCTCTTCAAAGACATTCCAAGACACTGTGTAATTTAATAAAGGAACTTCAAAAGCTAGTATTATAACTTCATAAGATCATCTGGTATCATTCAGAATTTGGAGTTTTAATGGAGGATTTTTCTAAAAGAACATACACAAACTTCAATGAAGTTTAGCATTCATATGGAACATGATAACGTATTGGGTGAGAGTGAAAAAGATGAATCAAACCTGCCAAAGATTTGATCTTTCTGCCAAGAACTTTGAAACCCCAGAATTTGAAAAGTCTGAAGGATTAAACATGTTATGCCCATCGTAAATTGACCCCAAATCATCCACATTGTGAATCCCTCTCTCCGTATAACAATCCCCCATAACACTGTTGGTACCATAATTGCTATTATGCTTAAGGTTATGGTTATGGTTATGGTTATGCTTGTGGTTATGGTTATGGTTATTCGCCTCATCTGAAACCCTTAGTTTCCCAAACCTAGACCCCAACATTTCACCATAGAATTCTCCATCACCGCCACCGCCGCCGCCGTATCCTCCACCATCATCCTCCCTATTCGCCATGAAATTCAGCAACTCGTCTCTTTCACTCACTTCCCTCTTCAAATCATCAACCCTAATCTCAAGATCCTCCACTTTAGCCCTCAAGTTGGCAATTTCCTCGACGTTTTCATCGATCTGACGGAGGAGGCGCTTCTCTTCTTGCTGCCACCCATGGCGGTGGCTGGCGAATATCTCAACAACCCTCGCATTAGCCTTGGAATCCTCTTTTCTTCTTGAGTACAGTTGCTCGAGCTGTTCTTCTGCTTGCAATAGCTTCTTAGAGAGTGATTCTGTATGGGTTTGAAGAGTTGGGATCAAAGAAACAGATTTCTTGGGGAGGAACCCTAAAAAGATTGCGAAACTTATGCCTAAATATGAGCAAAGTAATTCTTCACAACTCCGTTTGGTTTGTTGATGAAGTTGGAGGTGTTCTTGGGTAGCCATTGCTAAAGAAAACCCGAAGATTTAACAACAATTTCGTTGAAATGATTCTGGGGTTGAGGCCTTTAGTATTTGATCCTGAATGAAGCAGAAGAATCCATGGAGTTGTTTTGTTGTTTATTGAATGGTGGTGGCAGGCTTTTTACAAAAGCTTTTTGGCTGAGATCTTAAGAAAGTAGGTGTAGTAATAAAAGTGCTTTTTATAAAAACATACAGTGATTGGGTGCATTCACTTCACAAACACAATATTTCTACACCATAAAAAGTTATTGTTGTAAAAGAAGATATTTTAACCATGGATGATTTTTAATTTCAAATCCACTCATAAATTGTATTTGATATGAGAATTGATCTGGTGTATCTCATTTTATATAAAGGTTCGTTTATAATGGTTTGAATGTTTATGAATAATAATTAGAGTTCGTTAACTGTAACTATGTAAGCAATGTTTTATATTATAAAACAATCAAGATTTTTGTGAAACTAGATATTTATTAGAGTAAATGAACGGTTGAGATTGGTTTGTATAATTTGTATATATACACACACAAACGGTTTCCTTAAGGGTTCTGACTTCGCCATCGACTGTGGGTTCTCCAGACATACAAACCCATAAGATAAGGCTATGAGTTCCTCTTCACCGACCAAAACTTCTTTCTCACGTCAAAGTTCGTCTCCGACCCCCTTCCTCGCATTCCCACCTTTTTGGATCCTCTCTACGGTAAAAAAGAAACGATAGGAGCACTTGATGTAGACACAAACCTAACCCCTTCGTTCTCCGTCTCCTCCTATGTGTGTAACTATATTTGATTCCCCCTTTGTGTGCAAGTATCTGGATACCTTCCATTCTCTAGTATGAATGGCAACGGGCCAGGTATTGGTATTCTCCGTAACCGCCTCGATCCCCGCCGGATATCTTATCGGGGATCCAGATCGGGTCCTCGCGGTTTCCCCGATCCCTGTTAGGAAGCCTGTTAAGGGTAAAAAATCTTTTTCACCGTTGGTTATAACCGAACTCGAAACCGATTTGGAAAAAATTACAATATGTTAACTTTTACAATAAAAAGTAAATTACAAATTTTTTAAATATGTAAGTTTAAATGTCTCAAACATAGTCGAACCAATTACAAACAATGTATTGGATTGCAATAAAAAACTAAACAAAAATTCAAACATCATACAACTAAAATCACGATTTTAGACAAATAAACTAGATTTTTTCATGAGCTTTAGTTGGATTGTTGAGGTAAAGTAGATAAAAGTCTTTAAATTTTAATGTTACTATTTTTATTAATGATAATATATATATATATATATATATATATATTAAAATTAATATATATACACATATCGGGCCGATGATCCCCGTCCCTGCCCCCGTCCCCGTTAAAATCCCCAAATTTGCCCCCGATAAGATGTCTCCAAACTTGGCCCGAAAGTTTCGATTTTCACAATCGATTTCGGGTTTTTTTTTGCCATCCTTGTTCTCTGACGAATCATCTATTCATTTTTTTCACCTTCTTCCCTCCTCTCCATCTTCTCTCCAACGAGCTCTTTTGTCCCGTACACACGTACACAACCACATACTATTTTGTTGATTAAAATGTCGTTAAAAATTTTAATGAAAAATGAGAATAATTGAAAAAAAGTCTAAAATACTTATTGTTTAACGGTTTTTAGTGGTCGTTAAAGAGATGAATCAAATCGAAACACTTTTTCAAATAATGACTATCATCTTGTATTTTCAAAACTGTAAGAATAAAAAATGTTATATATGACAAACCACATGACCAAATTTATAGTTTACTCGTTTATAAAATATTTAAATTTCATGAGTACAATATTAAAACATTTAAATTATTTTTTGTTTTTATTTTATAAAATATTCGAGTTTTAAGACCTCTCAATCAAATTACTTTGAACAGTTAAAGTTTTCTTGTCCGTTGGTTAAAAGAAGATGCAATTTGTATAAATAGAGGTCTGTTTACCCAAATGTTTATATGATAAATGCTTACCAATACGAGTAACATTATAATTTATTTTAATGCGTAAGATTTTGGTACATCAAAACGTATCAAATGCAATAATTTACTAGGTAAACACTTACCTGGGTAAGAGTCATCATGCTCACTTACCGAGTAAGACTCTTCGTCCTTCTCATCGCTCTTACCCGGTAAGATTCTTGACCCTTGTCATGTTCATCCGATGAGAAAATTTATCCGGTAAGCACTTATCAAGTAAGCATTTAGTAAACGGCCCCTACATCTCTAAGCCAATTATTTAAAAAAATAAAGATTAAAAACATTAAAAATAATGGATTTATTGAACACCGGAAAAATCAAGTTCAACCATACATTAAAATCATCTTTAGTATTATAATAACGATAAATATTTTAACATATTATACTTTTAATCAATATATATATATATATATATATAATTACAAAATCTTAATATTATATTAATATATATTTATAGATGCCTAATTTATTGACCTCAAGATATAGAGGCCAGCATTTTGGACCTCTATTGATAGAAGGGGGTCAACGACAACAATGGACGGTAGAGAGAATAAAAAACGATGTGGCGACAAGGAGTGGCGGAGGGGGAGTGATGTCATTGTGTACAAAGAGTTTGAATGACAGGTATTGAGAACGGTAAAGTTGCTTTATGTTTTTTACTTTAGAACATTGTAGTCGGTTACATGTAACCTTTTTCGTTTAAAATGATGTAAGTGGCACGTTTCCAAGGGTTTGATAGTTTATTTATTAAGAAAATTATTTAGGCACTTAATCATTTAAAATAAGAAAGTTAATTGTTTTTTAGGGGTGTGTAGAAAGTCAACCGATCCAATTAAAGCCGATCGAAAATGATCAAATATTCAATTGTAATTGAATCGGATCAGATAGAAAAAATCGACATTCAATTTGGATCGGTCGGTTATTGGATGACAGTCTAGATCCAACTAGAACTGAACCAAACTTACCATCCAACTACTCATCTAATGAACATCCACTTATCATCCAACAACCTATCCAATTGTCATCCGACAACCCATCCAATTAATAATTAATATATATCTCATCCACAAATATTTGACCGATAGTCCCAAGGTTAAAAGTCGAACAACCAGTTGATCGAAAATTTAGATCTCGTACAATTACTGATTGTGTCTCCTATCATGTAAAAAATCCAGTAACGTAACTCTAGAACATGTGTAAAAGCTTCCTTAGACCGCATATAATAAATAACTGGTTTGAACCATATATGACATGTAAAAGCATGACAATTCAATCACAAAGCTTGTAATATGTATCTAACAATAACTTTTTTTTATTCATATTAGCTTTCTTCTTTGTAGTAATTTGTGCTTTTATACAGTTTTCAACGCTAATATATCTTGTATGAACAAATGCTAATACTTTGGTCACTTTCATGTCTTCAAAGAACGAGTGATATTTGACATTTACGGCATAATAGTGTTACGGATATAGTTATAGTGATTTGGTAATTCCTAACACGATTATTTATATATAAAAATAAAGTCGTAAAATCAAACCATATCAAACTTATTCACAAAATTGCAATCAAAAGTAGAACGTAATAAGGGTAAGATGTGCACATATCATATCTTAAAGGTCTATGGGTTGAAAATAGAATAAATTATAGATTTAGTCCCTAGACTATTGAAAATACAATCTACAATTTTAGTCAACCTGAAATGACGTAGACTAATTGCACTCCTCTGCATTGTTGAATGTACCCATACTTTGTGATTTCCTCCTCATACACATCAACATTAAAACTGACTTTTGACATTTTCGATGCATGAATTGAACCGATTTTGACATTAAAAGGGCGCAAATAGCAATTCCTGATGAAATTTCTTATTGTATGACCGATTCAAATTTCAAAACTGTTATTATAGTTAAATCAATCAAACGAGTATTTTCTCGTCCCAAAACAAATATCAACAATGATAAAAAAAATCGAGAATACCCTGTTAACCGTTCACTTGGACGGTATATACACATACATACAAATTATTTATAAGCAATTTGTCTGATATACACATATTCATAAATAAATAAAAAAAAACTTCACTTGCTTATTCTCAATTTTTTTTTTTGGATTTTCACCTTGGAATCTCCCACTACATACATAATATACTAGAAGAGTATTCGCGCAATACAATAAAATATATTTTGATTTTAATATTTCATTTTATTATTTATTTCAGTTGATATTATAATATGGTCTTATGTAATTTTGAAAAAACGACGAAGTTTTTATTTTTAAATAAAATATAAATTTAAATATATCATAAAAATTTGACAAAAATATATCGATGTTAGTATTAAATTAACTATTTAAAATTCCTTATTTTTGTGTAATTTTTTAATTTAATTTTTTTATTATAATTTAATTTAGATACAATAACGAAGTAATTTATATTTGGTTTAATGATATAATTTTTTTATAAAGATAATAATTAATTATTTTGTTAAAACTCGATAATTATCCTAATTATATTTTAGATTTTAAAATAAGATATTTATCTTTTATTTGATTATGTTTATCCGTAATTAGTCATATGAATTCAAACATTGAACTTTAATACGTTATATTTATACATAATTTACTTGTAATCTTGAATTTTAAGTAATGTACATCAATATACAATATTTTATACATTTTTTAAATTTTTTTATCAAATGCTTTGTAATATATTATAGATTGTATACAAGATTTATTGTGGAAAGAGGGTACTTCTTGAAAACAACAGACAGAGTCACTTGGTCCAACTAAACAAGAGGATTTCAAAATCTGGAAAAGAGGGGAAAAAGCCTGAATTCAAATTAGCGCATCAGATGCACCACACAAAAACGGTGCAAAAAGCTCCATCTCCAACTCTGATCCAAGTTCTATCTTCCATCGGAACAACCATCGCCGCCACCCTACGAATACTGCTGCAGCATCGCCCATTCGTTTCTGTCGTTTAATCAGCTGGAGTGGAACCACGAGGTTAGTTTTGTAAAATTGTTTGTTAAAGCCCCAATAATCTGTTCGTCCTGTGCGAGCAAAACCCTTTGATTAGGCATGATTCCCGTTTTTTATGGTTAATTAAAGCAGTGTATGAGAGCTTGGAAATTGAATTAAAGCTCGTTTGGTTATAAAATTTTGAACTGATTTTGTTCCAGTTGCAGTTCCAATTTGAATTCCAATTGTGATTTAAAATCCAATTTATAATGTCTCATGTGCGACTTTGAGTCGAATGGGTCAGCGGATGCAGTGTGTAAAACGAATCGAATAATACAGAGTGCGGTTAGGGATTAGATTCGAAAAGAGACGGATATTTATCTTTCTTATGATAATCAAATGTGGTATTTTCTTTAAAACTTGAACCAATCAATGATGTAGGCATGAAATTTGAGTTCCCAAACTTACCATTACAGATGTTTGTCATGGGATACTGTTACTAGTTTTGTCTACCCTTGATTAAAACTTATATTGAATTGTGATTATAAGAAATTTGTGTTTTAATTTAGTGGCATTTGTAGCATTGATGTTGTTGAGTAGTTTAAAGAAAATTAGGTCACTACAGATAACTGGTAAAAGAGCTGGATTGAGAAAGGGCTGTTGTTGGTAATAATTAATTTAACAGGACTGGGGATAGTTTCTGGTGACAGACAAGGTTGGGTTAGATGTCAGGTTGCTCAAAAGTCACACCTTTGCCATCCCTAATTGGTATGTAGACAAATTCACTTAACCAGACAAGTTCAGCAAGGGTACGTTATGGAATTTTATTTTTTAAGCTTGGAATTGGAACCAGAGTGAATTTGGTCCCAGAAATGAAGTAAGTGAGCTCCGACTGAAATTTCAAAATTGGAAGTTCATGCTACCAGAAACTCTTGTATTATCAGATGTGCCATGTTATGCGCACAGATATATGCGTGTAAGTAAGTGCTTATTTATACATTTATGTGGTATTTTAAAAATGATGAACAATTTGTGCATATAAGTAGATATGCTAATGTAACACCCATGCCATAAAAGAGCCACATTGGTATTCATGGTATGTATAGAGTAAAATCTTGTTTCAAATTCAATTGCTAGTTGACAATTAAAAAAATTCTGATGACGCCATGATAGTGATAACAATGTTACCCGAGCAATAATGGCCTAATGGTGTTGGTGCATCATGACATTACAGTCTAACTCTTGGAATAGGCACCTTATTTGGAACAGATTAGAAATTCAACAGAACTCTTCTTTTGGAACGTGGGGTATACAGATACTTAGCCTTATGGTGCAGATGTCGAGTATAACAAGTGATCAAAAGGTTATGATAGTAGATTAAGTTCTTTTGGAGGCCTTTGGTACGCAAACTCTATAGCATACAAACCTTCACTTCTTTTCTCCACCAATTCCTTTTTGTTGTATTATCTTATATGCTAGCTGTTGCTGTTTGAACTTCAAATAACAAAACTTACTTTTCAATGATTACTTGTATTTTTCCTTTCAGATTTGAACTCTTTCAGACATAGCAGTTGATTTGTTTGACGAGACATGTCTCTCCTCAGTAGGTTCTTCTATAGAAGACCACCAGATGGCTTGCTTGAGCTTGTGGATAGAATTTATGGTATATATGCAGCATCCCCAATCCTATCCAGAAATTCTTGTCATTTTATTAGTTTTTTTCTCTTCTTATTCATAGTAAAACCCTTCTTTATGTTCTTGTTTTTAGCATGCATATCATTATGATTGTTTTGATGTGTCTAACTATGCCAAAATCCATGTGTATGCATGTTATCTGTTGTGCTTAATAGCGTAAGTTCTTGTTACACTCTACTAACTGCTTGCTTTTTATCTGGTATCTTTGCAGTTTTTGATTCTTGCTTTTCAACTGAAGTTCTGCCTGAGGGACTCTACCAACTTTATTTGCATGAAATTAGTAATGAATTACATGAAGAGTTTCCCGAGTCATCCTTTCTGGCGTTTAATTTTCGAGAGGGTGAAAGGAGGAGCCAGTTCTCAGAAATTTTGTGCGAGTATGATATCACTGTCATGGACTATCCAAAACAGTATGAGGGTTGTCCCCTTCTACCGTTGTCTCTTGTCCATCATTTCCTTCGTCTTTGTGAGAGTTGGCTTACTCTTGGGAATCATCAGAACGTCATTTTGCTTCATTGTGAGAGAGGGGGTTGGCCTCTTTTAGCATTTCTTTTAGCCAGCATTTTGGTTTACAAGAAGTTGCATAGCGGAGAACGTAAGACTCTTGAAATTGTTTACCGGGAGGCTCCAAAAGGTTTGTCTCAACTATTGTCACCTTTAAACCCATACCCATCACAGCATCGCTACCTGCAATACATATCAAGAAGAAATTTATCTGAGGAGTGGCCTCCCCCTGAACGAGCTCTGTCTCTGGATTGTCTCATTCTTCGTGATATTCCAAATTTTGATAATAAGAATGGATGCAGACCAATCATTCGAATCTATGGCAGAAATCTTCTTAGTAAGGATGGGCTTTTGACGCAAATGTTATATTCCACGCCCAGGAGAGGTAGGAGTCTTCGGCATTACCGCCAGGTAAGACTTGGGAACCTCATCTATCCAGTTATAGGTTTTTTTAATGCAATTGACTGATAGATATATGTGATATGATGCAGAAGCACAGTGATGTTATTAAGATTGACATTCAGTGTTTGGTGGAAGGTGATGTTGTACTGGAGTGTCTCCATTTAGACATTGATTCTGAAAGAGAAGTTATGATGTTTCGCATAATGTTCAACACTGCCTTTATTAGGTCTAATATTTTGATGCTCAACTGTGACCACTTGGACACTCTTTGGGACTCAAAGGCACGGTTTCCAAAAGGTTTCCGAGCGGAGGTGAAACTTGCATTTAAAATTTATTTACTTTATGTACACAACAGATTAACTTCTAGCTTATACACTACTGTTTTGCATATATCAGGTTCTTTTCGGAGATGTTGAGAGCATTTCAGCTCCCATAGCTCCAACCACAATGTTGAATGGAGAAGAAAAAGGTGGATTGCCTATTGAAGCTTTTAACAAAGTTCAAGAACTTTTCAATGGGATTGAATGGGCCGATGGTGGTGACGATACTGCTTTATGGCTATTCAAACAGCTGTCGGTTTTAAATGATGCAAAAGAATTATCAATGCTGCGGAGTAAATTGAGTACATATTCATCACCTTTCGACTCTGAGGATGAAAACAATGCTTCCAGTGTTGCTGACAGTCTGGATTTTCTGGAATCCGAAAGAAGTAGTGATCTACCTTGTACTACTGCCTCAGTGGTGAATGTTTTTGATGAATCTTCATACCAAAATTCTCCTTTGGATGAAACATCTGATTTTAAGTCCTTGGAGGATCCATTGCATCATAAAACATCAGACACGGTTGATTCAAGTGTCTCCTCTTCTGGAAGTGGTGATCTAAGTAATGCAAATGATACTTCAGCATCACCAAATCAAGCTCCCATTGAAAGTCCCAGATCACCTGTCAATGAAATATCCATTCAACCAAGCAAAAGTGTATCAACTTGCCAACAACCACCTCCAGTACCTCCTGCTACAGATTCTTGTAGAGATTCCCCTCAAGGACCGACGACTCCACCACCATTTTCTATTGATTCAGGTGAAGGATCTCCACCATCTCATCCTTTACCAATTCTGTCTAGTACTATACCACCCCCTCCACCTCCACCTCCACCTCCACCTCCACCTCCACCTCCACCTCCACCTCTATCATCATCGCCTTCAATATCCAGAACGTATGATCCTGCTATACATGAAAGCTCTGCAACTCGTGCATCATTGCCTCCCCCTCCTCCACCACCACCTCCACCTCCACCTCCACCTCCACCTCCACCTCCACCTCCACCTCCACCAGCATTTGTAAGTGGTTCAGTTGGGAAAAGCTCTCCTTCGCCTCCACCACCTCCTACTTTGCCTCCTATCTCTTCCAAGATCCCATCACCACCACCCCCTCTGCCCCCACTTGGTTCTACCTCAAGTTTTTCCAAGAGTCCACCACCCCCACCCCCACCACTACCTTCACTAGTTTCTTATAAAGGCCCCCCACCACCTCCGCCTCCACCCATTTCTTCCAAGGGAGCTCTTCCTCCACCACCTCCCTTTACTAGTGGTGTGACTACCAAAGCTAGTGCTACCCGAGGACCACCACCTCCCCCTCCTCCCCCTCCTGGACCTCCACGTCAAGGAACAACTTCTTCAGTAACCAAGCCATCAGGTGCACCTCCACCCCCACCCCCACCCCCAACTCCGGGCCGCAATGGTACAGGTGCGCCGCCCCCACCTCCACCTCCGGTCCGCAGTGGTGCAGGTGTGCCACCTCCACCTCCACCTCCGGTCCGCAATGGTGCAGGTGCGCCACCTCCACCTCCACCTCCAGGCCGCATTGGTGCAGGTGCGCCACCGCCACCTCCACCTCCGGGCCGTAATGGTGCAGGTGTGCCACCTCCACCTCCACCTCCTGGCCGCACTGGTGCACCAGGTCCACCTCCACCTCCACCTCCCGGTCGCAATGGTGGAGCAGGTCCGCCTCCACCTCCACCTCCTGGAGAAAGGGGCTCTAATGGGTTGCAGCAACCTACCTCTTCCAGTGGACGAGGACGTCCCGTTGGTTCTCTGAGTAGTGGAAGAAGTAGAGTTGGTGTGGGCTCTTCAATTCCTCCTAAAAAAGCGTCTTTGAAGCCCTTGCACTGGGTTAAAGTTACCAGAGCAATGCAAGGGAGTTTATGGGCTGATACTCAAAAACATGAAGACCAGTCAAGGTATGTGCTTGTGGCAAATGGAAATTGATGATATAGACCATCACTACTACCGAGATATTATTTTTTTGTTACAACTATTGCATTGTATATTATTTTATTCCTTGCATTGTCTTGTACATACTGTCACCTGCCAAAAAATTTTGTAGGGCTCCTGAAATTGATATATCAGAGCTTGAGAGTCTATTTTCAGCAGCTTCTGCTTCTGACAGTACCAGCAAAGGTGGAGCTCGACGGGGTTCAAAAATTAATAAACCTGAAAAAGTTCAATTGGTTAGTGGATTTACTTCTACTTTTAACTCTTTGTGTGTAGCTTGTTTGTCCTTTTCCATCTTCAAGGTCCAGCTATATTTACCTGACAGCCCCATGGCTGAAATATTATATGTTCCTTGTTTCTTTTGAATTTTTATTGTATGCCTACACACGTGATGATTAAATGCTTTCTTTTGGGAGTCTTCTGGACAATATGGTACTTACATTTGTCAACTACATCATAAAAAATTGAAAGTAAAACAGAGGCATTCTAATTACTGAGACAACTTATTTATTTATCAATGCAAGTTTTAGAAGCCCTAAGACAAGGCATAAATTTGTTAATGAAATCTAGAACAGTTACACCGATCTCATGAATTTGGAATCATAGATGTGCTTAACCTTTTTTTAAATTAACTTATACTTTTATGTACGAATATAGGACACATAAAGGAAATGTTTTACTGATGTATAGCCATAAACCAGAATATACTTTTATCAATCACAAGGATGTTATCTTGTTCCATTACTCTTCCATTACCACTTCAGTAAATATCAGTGGGCAGACCTTTAATTCGTGTCAGTAATAATTTTTGGATTAATAAATTCTAAACAAAAGATACTAGGTAAGAAATGATGGATAACATTTATATAGTGGTCTAATATGACGTGATTCGCGGATACAAGATGATTCACCACTATAATTTTGAACCAGATAGGGTTCTGAACTAATGAGATTTGAGTTGTTTGCTTCATGAGTTCAATCAGAAGATTCAAACAGCAAACCATATGATGTTAACTGTACTTTGAGGGCATTAAGCCACACGTATTTGCAAATACACAATATATGCGCTGGTGAGTCTTCTGCATTGTTTTTATGCTATAATTTTATGGAGGTTAGGCTTTGATTTCTGCCTCAAGGTTCTGATGATAACTCTTAATTGCTGTTGTCAAACAGTTGATCCTCATTGGTATTAATGAATTGACAATTAGCAATTATAGTAGATAGTATACATATTACTGTTAAGATCAACCCTGACCAAGGCAGTTTTACCTAGTTTTAGTTATGTTACACTGGTTATGTTCTTTTATGGCAGGCTTCACTGAGTATGCATAATAGTGGTAACTTAATAGAGTTTGTTGTGCACTAACAAGATCAGCTTTCTCGACTATGAAAATTTCATTCCTCCCCTTCTATTGTGGTATCGAGTGGTTACTTGATATGGAAAACCACAATGATGGGAGAACAGTAAATGGACTTATCAAGATTGAAATTAGTTGTTCAGTTATACACTTTGCATCTATTGTAATAGAGGAGGTTTCTGATACACAATGGCATAGTTGTACATAGTGGCATTTATACAATAATGTTTACAAAGGAGATAGGTGGTACTTGGTTAGCTCTCTCTTGTTCTCTAATATCAGTAATACTCATCATCCATAACCAAGACTGCTCGTATAAATATGCATATATGAATCAATTGTGGTGTCTGCCAGCCACTGATATATAAGATTCGTCTCAAATGTCCCTGTTATGTTTATTAGGTTTGAGAACCATATGTACAATTGTACAAATCTTTGAGTTTAACCATATATTTTCTACTTCAAATGAATTGATGTTGTAGTCTATATGCCGGTAATAATTATCTCATTTCCTTTTCAATTTCTTGCTTCTTGGAAGATGTATTTGTGTTTACTTTCTTCCAACTTGGTATCTTACATTTGGTTTATTTTTTTGCCCCTGATGATATGTTTATCGTGTTGTAAACAATGTCTTTTTCAAATTTATTGGTGGTTACTTTTTTTCTTTCTCAAATTTGATTTGCAGGTTGATTTGCGTAGAGCGTATAATTGTGAAATCATGCTTACAAAGATAAAGATTCCTCTGCCTGATATGATTGTAAGTTCATTTTTCACAGCCGCTGCAATTCAGCAAAAATTGCTACTTTTTACATGATATAGAGCAGGAGTGGCAAAGTTGATATCAATATAGAAGAGGAAAAGTTCTGTTCTTCTTTCAGGAGCTTTCTATCTTAGCTATAGCTGAGAGGTTGTAATGATCATTCTATGCTTTTCAAAATCGTTTCTATATATATTGATAGTAAGTGCGTGTCTTTAATATGAACCCATTCAGGTAAAGAAAAATATATGAAATTTCAATGCCAACATTGAGTAGACTTTTACCAACTAATTAATCCAGGTTCTCAAATACAATGGTTAAATGAAAATCCCCTATCTGATGATGAAGGATGCCATAGTGTTTGCTTGGTCTTTTCACCAAGGCTTTGGACAGTTGGTCGACTCTTCCACACTCCATTACAACCACATATTCACTGAACAAAATTCACAACTGTAAAAAGGGATGTGACAATTCTTTGTAAAAGTAGACTCCTACCCTTTGATGGTTTTTCGAGCCTAATAGCACTATGTTGTTTCCTTTATTTTTCTGTTTTTATTCGAAGAGGAATTTGACGTAGAGAACAAATTTAGGAACTGGCTGAAGAAGTACCTGATAAATCATGGAGCAAGAATTAACAAGACAAAAAAAAAACTTTGCATTGTATACCCGAATCAGTATTAATAAGATCTATGAATAAGTAAGCCTGTACTTTTCTTTCTTGCATCCTTTTTTTCTGTTGAAAACAAATTTAGAAACAAAAATGCAAAACTAATTTAGGAAACCATGGGAACAAAGTAACTTTATTGGTACTTGTAAGATAATAGAAGTCATGGAGGGATGGACATAAATGTATAACATATACAAAAGGAGTAGATGATGGAGGCTTCCTGTCCCTAATTATATGCGATAGGAACTTTAAAAAAAATATTACCTCAATTTTGTAGAGTACTAACCCGGAACCTATTGTAATGCATGCAACCAAGATCCAAGGATATATGACTAACATTATCTTTTATTCTTTTGATTTCTTGTAAATAAACTATTATTCACTAATTGTGTAATGAACGTGAGGTTGATTGTGAGACATTAAAGGATCACTTCAATGGATATACAAATGGAAAGACTAGTAATAAAGTCATAATGGAATTGTCACTTTTTTGAAGGCCAGGTAAGTTTCAGTTTCTGTCAGAAGCTTCAGTCGAACTTGATCTTACTTGATATAAACCTGATGGGCTTCCTTATTTGTTAATTGTGATGCTACATGGAAAAATAAACCAAGAAATATAACATTCTTAAATAATCAATGCTCTCTGCTATGATAGCTATTCTCCATTCAACATATCATGTAAAATGCAAAGAATGGTAGCTAATTTTCTCCATTCAGCCTTTTACTTCATGCTGGTTACGTTATGTTTTTTCTTCCCCAAGTTCAAAATAGTATTATAGAACTCAAACGCTCATGCTCCATCTTAGAACGCCATTCTTGCATTGGACGCTGCTGCTTTGGATATTGATCAAGTTGAAAATCTCATCAAATTTTGTCCAACAAAAGAAGAAATGGAGACTCTAAAGGTACTCAGTTTCATCCATTCTCTTCTTGTGTTTTTCCTCTTATTTTATCAACGCTACACACAAATGCATAATTATGCATTAATTTAAGCTACACACAAAAGAATAAGTATGCCATAAGTTAAGTCCAGTTAAGATCATATGTTTCATATTGGGATTGCTTAGGTTGTTGAATATATGTTCTTTTTCAATACTTATAGAAAGTTTATGGGCCCTATTAATGGTATCCCATTCCCATCTAAAGGCTGCATCTATAAGTTCTGACCCGAAATGGATAACTTTGTTGTTTTCAATTAACAGAATGCTATCTTCAAAAATTGTATCTTAAGCATATCTGCATATGGCATCACTGTGGTTCCAGCAACCTATTACTAGACAAAAAAGTATTAAACGTTTGTCTGTAGTTAAGTGACTGCTTGTAACTGCAACTTATATGATCAGTTATAACTTTTGGATGGCTTGATGTTCATCATTTGGGTCTAAGGTACAATGTTGATAGTTGTTGAAAGGCATGGGTTCCAAATAGGCTAGATTGCTAAACCCATGTGGTATGTTTTGGAAATTTAGCCACATACCCACTGATAAGACTCGAAGGAAATTTGAAATAGGACATATGAAATCTGTTTAGGCGTATTTATTTCACATTCTCATATTACTGTTTTGTTTGTTCAGAAAATTTAATCTTGCCTTTTGGAATATGAATTTGTGGGGCTATCTGAATCGATACATATCGTCATTAGCAATCTTTCAGAATAATAGCTAAGCATGTGCTTGCTGTAAGATCTCTATGATGAAACAAACTGCTATATGAAATTGAATATAATTATTAGTTTCAAGAACGTCATTTTGCATACCATTTTTAGTTTGGGATATGTGTGAGGTACTAGCTGTACTTTATATTCTAATAATTTTTGTCTCTTTTATCTCAGAACTATACAGGAAACAAGGAAATGCTCGGAAAGTGTGAACTGGTATTTTACTCTCTATAGGATTGAACGTAGTTCAGAAAGCAACATTTCTGTATGTAACACATATTATGGTCCATGGCCTTCTAGTTTTTCATGGAGCTAATGAAGGTCCCACGTGTTGAGTCAAAACTTCGAGTATTTGCGTTCACAATTACTTTTACCAGTCAGGTAGATAGTTTTCTGATATTCTTTTGCCATTTTCTGGACATTTTTGCTTGTTTTTAGCTGTTCATGCCTCCCGTTTCTAAAAATTTCCAGGTTAAAGATTTAAGACTAAATCTGAGTGCGATCAATGATGCTACTATAGAGGTAACTTGCAATGAGGATTCTTCAATTTGATACTTAACTCTCAACTAAAACTGCCTCCCATTTCTTGACCGAGTTTCTTGCAAGATTTCAGGCTAATTGCTGCGGCCTGCAAATTTTGAACACATAAAAATTGCTTCTTTCTTTTGGTTGCAAAATCCTAATAATCACCTATAAAATGTAGGTCAAGGAATCTGCAAAGTTGCGTCAAATAATGCAGACAATTCTTACGCTGGGAAATGCATTAAACCAGGGCACTGCTCGAGGTACCATTAAATCATAGCTGAATCTTTTTTATGTCTGGGAGCTTTTGGAATTTGTGGTTCTCCTTGGTTGTTTCTTACAAAGACACGCATGATCTGCGCTACAGGATCTGCTGTAGGATTTAAGTTGGACAGCCTTCTTAAATTGTCTGATACACGTGCAAGGAACAACAAGATGACACTAATGCATTATTTATGCAAGGTAGAAATCTTTATTAAATCCCCTGTTGAGTTTTGGTTTTTACTTTTGCATCATGGTTGCATGTACTCTGATGATAAATTTTCCTGGAACACCGTCTGTTGATTATTTAATGAGAAGAAAATGTACAAAATCATTTGAAAGCAGAGGTTTGAATTTCCTTTCTGGTTTGTACCAAATTAAATGTGTACCTTACCTTATTGAATTACTTTTAATCAAACATTTCTGTTAATGCTCTTCAAGTTCTAATTTCATATTTATTCCATATGTATATATATATACACACACACACACACTCTCTCTTACGTTAGCAAAACCCTTGAAAAGACATCAACTTTTCATTATTTTGCACTTCTCTCATAGATTTATGTCCAAAAGATTGTCTCCCAAAGAGAAAAGGGAAGGTTAATTGGAGGCAAAGCAAAATAGGATGTGGTCATTTGATTTGAATGAAGCAAACTTCTGTTGATTCTACCTCTGCCTGTGAAAGTAATGAAGTTTGGGTCCCATGTTTTGTACTCCCAGAGAATGCAGTTGCTGCATCTTTAATGATATTTATATCATTTTCTGCATATATATCTCAATCGACATATGTATTTTATTTTGGTTACTCATGTGAATGGTGTGACATCTGCACTAGCTTCTTGCTGAAAAGATGCCGCAGTTGCTAGATTTTGACAAGGATCTGGTTCATTTGGAAGCTGCCTCCAAGGTATGCCAATATGTTAAAACTTGAGATTTGGGATTTTTCTCCGTAACTAGTCTATTCCTGAGTTGTATTTTCCTTTCCTCATTTTAAGATACAATTGAAGAATTTGGCTGAAGAAATGCAAGCAGTGAGTAAAGGTCTTGAAAAGGTTGAGCAGGAACTCACTGCTTCAGAGAATGATGGCGCTATATCTGCTGGTTTCCAGAGGGTGAGTTATTGTGTACTGATTTAATTCACAGGAGCTCTAGTAACGGGTTTGTGTATACGAGTTGTTAATGCAAAGATTGAAATATATGTGCCAACAAGATATTGAATTATAACTGATGGGTATATTCTTAAACCAACCTTTCAGGCATTGAAGAGTTTTCTTGATACTGCTGAAGCTGAAGTCCGGACTCTAATCTCCTTGTATACTGAAGTGGTGAGTCCTTCAATAATCCCTAGCTTTCTTCATAACATGGTGATCTCAACTCATTTCAACAAGTATGCCTTTCAGGGAAGAAATGCAGATTCACTTTCACAGTATTTTGGAGAGGATCCTGTTCGTTGCCCCTTCGAGCAAGGTTTGATCTAGTTTTTCACGTTGCTGTCTCCACATTTATCTTTAATTTAAGAAGCATATATATTATATATAGAGAGGAGGTTTAAAATACAAACCATACAAACCATGATCATCACTTTATCAGGAAACAGTTGAGATAATAATGGAAGATGATAGAGTTTGTTTCATTGTGATCATTGCTTTAGATTAGGAAACAATTGAAATTTTATATAGAACCAAATATTTATTAGGCTAGATGGACGGTTAAGATTGGTTTATAAGAATTCAATGGTTTGTATTTGTAACTCCCTCCATATATGTATGCATAATCATCAACGAACCTAATAAATCTTACAAACTTACAAACCAATTTTCATGTATTGCTTCACATATGAAACAACACGTATGAAAATGCAGTGTTTATGTAGTGATGTTTCAGTACTGTTTTGTGTGTGGAAAAAAACAGTCCAAAATGTTTCACATGTGAAACAATAATGTATAAACGCTAAATTTTTGCATCTGTTGTTTCATATATGAAACAACACGTGAAAACCAGTTTGTAAGTTTATACCATCATTGTGTGCGTATGACATTCTTTTTCTATCGAACTATTGGATGTGAACAGCTCCATTGTTTGCAAAAAGATGTGATGAGGTTTGTTTATGCAGTAACACAAATATTGGCGGTGTTTGCTAAGATGTTCAAGAAAGCTCGTGACGAAAACGAACAGCAAGCAGATGCCGAAAAGAAGAGATTAGAGAAAGAAGCTCATGCAGCAGCCAAGAAAGAGGATGTTGATTCCAAGAAAGACCTCAAAAACATGATTCAAAATACATCTCTAGCCATGAAGAGAAGAGAAGTGAATAATAGAAACCATGATGATAAGAAAGAGTAGTTAGTCTCTTTTCCTTCATGCCATAATAGCATCCACAATGGTTGGACTTTTTCGTCGAAGCTTTTTTTAAAGAGAGTGTAAATGTACAAGAAAAAAGATTTGGGGGGGGGGGGGTGTTTTGACAAGCGTAGGAGGCCAAAAATTTCTCCGAAAAGCTTCATTGTTATCTCTCCCTCACACTTGTATAGAAATGTTTAAATGATTTAGGATAGTCACACGCGTAATTTGTTTAGTATCTATGTTGTTTGCATGCTTTGTATTAGAAAGTCGATTATGTGTCTTACGAATCGACGTGGGTGCGTTGAAATTGTTTGCTGAAGTGATTAGTCGAAGGGTTAAAATACTTTAATGGTTGGAGGAGTGCTTCAAGCTTGAAGTATTGAGTGGCAAAATATCGGTCTAATCGGGCCTTTAACCAACGGGCCATTGAGGATGTGTCGGATATGGATAAGACCGAACAAAACTGGATTGTATAGATGAGCGAGCGGTGGGTGAATGAATTATAGACATGTTTTAATGTTTCAATTTGATGTGGGTTAATGTATAGTTTAGTAATTTATAAAAAAAAAATTATTCACTCTTCTTATTTTTGTCCTTTGTTTTTATTTGTGAAGTCTCACTTAAAGGAAGATTTTAGTATACAAAATATAAGTGATTTTTGTGAAAAACAAAGTGATACATAGTGTTTTATGTCGGTTGGGTTGAAACTTTGGTACATTATTTTACAATCTAGCTAAACGATTTTGTTAAAATGATGTAAAATAAAAATAAAAATATATAAATAAAGCTAACAAATTCAAAAAGAAAGTTGAAGGTTCATGCAAATAAGAAAGAAAAATTACGGTTGAAATTATGATATAATTATGAGTATAACTAATTATGTGTTGGTTTATTGTCTAATGTACATATATTAATTAAAAACTTAACGGTCATTGATAAATCTATAGTATAAAAAGACATCGGGTTCAGCAAATTGAGTTGAGTTCAAATGGTCTTATCCCAATTCCAACTCAATTCTTAGGGTAAGTTTGATTTACAGGAATAAAATGGATTTAAAAAGATTTAGATTTAAAATCTATTCCAATCCAATATTTGGTTTGCCAAATCATCAGGATTTTGAAATCCCGTGTATTTTTTAAAATCCCGTAAACAAGGGATTTGGAAATCTGGGCTGATTTAAAATCCAAATCCGGGCGGGTATCTCCTCCTCGATGCTTCAATCTTCATGCCCTAATCCCTTCTCGTCACTTTCCCCATTACTCTCGCCGGTCTCCTCCACCTCCCCACTTCTCGTCGCTTTCCCCATTGCTCTCGCCGGTCTACTCCAACTCCCCACTGCTCGCGCCGGTGTCTCCTCCAACTCCCCACTGCTCTCGCCGGTTCTCTCCTCTCTGCTCTTCGTCCCGCTTGAACCGGTGCTCATCCTCTTCGCCTCTTCGTCCCGCTTGAGCAGGTAAGACTTCCCTTTCGAATCTTCTCGTTATTACATTACAATCTTTACAGTATACGATGCTTAATCAGTAACAACTCACCAACCTAGTACGATTAGGACAAATTGATTTGCTACATACCAAAATTTCACTGACTGTGTTTTGTTTTTCTCTGTTTAGTATGAACCTGAATTGTTATGCATCGCTTTGTCGCTTCTGTTTGATTATTATCACTTCGATTTGTTTTGTTTTTAGTCATGTTTGTTTGTGGATATTTTGGTCGAGGTTTTGAGCGTAGGTTGAAACCTAATTTTTTGTTTTTATCTTGTTTCTATGGCATGTTACGATAGAACTGAGGTCGTACTGCTAGTTGTATGAACTCACATAATCTCTTCTGCTTCAATTTTTGATAATTAAATGGTAAAAACATACATTCACAGTAAGGGACTGTTTTTCTTTTTCGTTTCTGGATGTGTTCTACTATGCTATGCACAGAAAGAACTYTGTACTATCTCTTGAAATTCCAGATCCCTCACCATTATAGAGCTATTTGCTTTGAAATATCTGTTTGCGAAAGCTAAAACCCCATTATTAGGCATTTGTTACTTGTTATTACCGCAGGAAGTCACTAAATTTGGTAAAAAAATACTAAGGGGCCGTTTACCAAACGCTTACTCGGGTAAGTGTATACCAAGTCACATTACCTTAACCGATGAATATGGTAAGGACCAAGAATCTTACTCGGTAAGAGCGAGACAAATACCAAGAGTCTTACCCAGTAAGTGATTGCGACGACTCTTACCACGGTAAGCACTTACCAGGTGAATTGTTGCATACTATACTGTTTTGGTGGACTAAAATTTTACCAGGTAAGTAAGTAATAGTGTTAAATTTTACCAGTAAGCGCTTACCGGATAAGTGTTTGGTAAACATCCCCTAACTGTTTCGTAATCATACTTTTCAGATGTTTTAGTCAARGACGTTAGATTATTTCTTTGAATCAAATCCCACTACGCATTTGTGTGAAGGGCTACCAAGAACTTGGCATATAATAATAAATTAGCCACACATGAAATTTTACATGCGTTTGTTTTTAGATATGAACATATGAAGGACTACCATCAATAATTTCCTTATCAGTGTTATGTTTTTCATGAACCTTCGTAATTCCTTCGAGTTGCATACAGACACACACACAGATAAATGATGATAGGTTAAATATGTATTTTGGATGAAAATGTTTGTTGATTAAATATGYATTTTGGATGAAAATGTTTGTTGATTAAATATGYATTTTGGATGAAAATGTTTGATTGTTAAATTTTTAAGTGTGTTGGTTAAATAAATAGGTTTAATAAAATGAAAGAGATTTGATGATTAAAATAATTTAAATTTTTTTTGAATCCAAATCCAAAACCAAATCCTACAAACCAAACACAGGAATGGATTTCAAATCCAATCCAAATCCTGCAAACCAAACACAGGAATGGATTTTAAATCCAATCCAATCCAAATCCCATGGAATCCAAATCCCTCAGAAACATTCCTGCAAACCAAACACACCCTTACTGTTTGGAGATTTTACAACTTGATTAAGTATAGTCACTTTTAATTGGGTTGAGTTAGTATTTAGTGATTGCCAAAACCTGGTCCCGAACCAAACCGGACCCAAGTTGGTTCTAGTCCGGGATTCTTCTTTTATAACGGGTCCCACTCCTCATCATAAGCACCCGACCTGTTCTCCATATATAAAACCTGATATCTAGAATTGGTCCTCGGCCGGGCCCATTTTGACCATCTCTATTCTCTAGTTGTATCTAGGCGAGTTCATTGGTTGACATCCATTCGAAGTGAGGGGAACCGAACCGACCTGATCATTTGGATTTTGCCAACCGATCCGATCCAATTCAATCCAATGGATGAATGGATTGGTTCGGTTCCATCAATTGGATATCCATCAGATGTCCAATGGAGTTGGGTCCATCAAGTGTATTAGTTCAATCCAATTCTTCAACAATGATATAAATTAATTAATCACTTTTAATATGTCTAAAACCAACACAAGAGAAGTTAAAAATTCAAAACCTCACACAAAACAAATTCATATTTAAACAATTTGAAAACAAATTAATTGGATGACAGTTGGATAATGGTTGGATGGATAACTGGATGGTCATCGGATGATTAATTGGATGTTGGTCGATTCAGTTCGGTTTGGTTCATTTTTGGACTGTCATCCGAGAATCACCGATATAAATTGGATGTTAAAATTTTCAATTTGGTCCAATTCAATTACAATTGAATATTTATTTACGACCGGTCGATTTTAATTAAATCGGTTGATTTTCTATACTATTTGTTTGTATGTGTACTTTCAATTGTTAGCGTAGGCCTAGGTAAGCCCAAGCTCACTCTCAATTTTGTAAAAGAATAAAATAAAAAAATCCAAATCTAACAGGCCCACTCTCCCTCCGTCCCGAGACCCTCCTGGCGTCACACCGACCCTGCTCATACGAATCACTTAGTCACCGCCTCAATGGTCATGCCTGCAGCTTCAGCCATTCAGGCGGCCTCCGGTTTAATTGATCTGTAGTAAGTAATCGATCTTTAATTCTCGTTAAAAACTTGAAATCGCCTCTTTTCTTGAATTATGTTTTAGGGTTTAGTGATTTTTGTCATTTGGAATTCATCATGTCTTCCTGATTAATAAACCATATGCTTCCTGACTTTTTGGCATTTTAGAAAGTATCTTGATTCTTACTTTGCGTAAAAAATCGAGCTTGTAGACGAAGATAGGAAAACCCTAACTTAATTTGTTTGTAGGGGGTTCAACAAAGTGTAATCGCATATGAAGTTGCTTCTAAAATAGATAACGAAGGTAAAGATGATGACAAAACCTCTCAATCTTCCATAACCTCTTGTATTCAACCCAATAAGTCTACTGACAAATGTATGAGTTAAAATTTGTAATCCATGTTGAATTCTTTTCAGTATTTTGTGATGAAATCATCAAATTTATATCATTTATGTTATTTTTTGCCAAGCGTTTGATGTTTTTTTAACAAAATTCCATCCTTAGAAACTCATTGACCGAGTTTGTTTATTTTGCAGATTCATTATTGTGCAACTGTTGTGTTTGCTAATTTATTTAAGATGAGCCTCTTACAAAAGAGAAAAAGACCCGAGTCTAAACCAGGCGGAGGTCTTGTGGAATCAGATCGCATGGTACTCAACGTCATCAAAAGCAAAAAAGAAATGGCGATTTGGACACGGGACTTGAAGAAAGAAACAAATCTACCCGATCCCATTATCAACAAATCCCTCAAGAACCTCCAAGCTTTGGGTCTGATAAAAGAAGTTGCCCATGTCCAAATGAAGGGCAGAAAACACTACATTGCAGCAGAGTTTGAGCCATCAAAAGAGATCACAGGTGGTTCATGGTACGTAGATGGTAATCTTGACACAGCCTTCATCGATCAACTTAAAGACCTTTGTCTAAAGATCATTCGTAAACTGAAAGTTGCAACAGCTGATGGAGTTTACGACTTTTTCAAGACCAACAGGCTGACCAACACGGATTGCACTAGCCAACAGATAAGTGAGATTTTGAGGTCGATGGTTTTGGATAATATGATTATAGATGTAACGAGCACTGGGTTAGGGGAATATCATTCTATTCCTATTGGGAAGTTATGTTATAGATGTCCTCCGGCTGGTGATCTAAGTCAAGGTCCGATAACAGGGGCAATGGTGTCAATTCCTTGCGGGATTTGTCCGAGGATTAGACAGTGCACACCGGATGGAATTATATCTCCAAGTACCTGTGTTTACTACACCAAGTGGTTAGATTTCTGAATGCTTCTAGTAAGGTACCCTTTGGATCAATCTTTTGTTTGATTTGAGGTGTATAGTTTTGGTGTTTGATTTCCTGATGAATTTAATATAAATACTTTTGTTTTTTATTTTCATAGATTATTTAAGACTGTTCATCTTTTATGAATTCAGTTTTGTAAAGGATGAAATTTGGTGAAAGTTTGAAAAATGTTTCATATAGAGAAGTTCATATTGTTGAAGATTTTTGGAGTATGGATTCAGTTGGTGAGTCCAATTGCTGGTGGATTCTTTGAAGCCCACCCCTCAATGATTATGAACTTGATTGTGTATGTCTGGTGATTCGGGTTCTGCTTTCGAATAATGTTAGAAGAATGATTCTTTTTAATTGAATTTCATACGTTACTTTATTATTTAAAGACTAAATAGCAAATGAGTTTGTATAATTGTTGAACCCGTTGACCATTAAACAGAAATTGTAGGTTCAAAAGGCTGGTTAGCAAACCCGTCGAGTGTTTTCCACGTGAGACGGTGGAAGAACCAAAAGCAACCTTGTCGTTGTACTTGTGGAACCGTATAAGGACCTAAAGAAACTTATTGTGATCCTCGTGGTGGAACTTGGAAGAACCAAAAAAGCTAAAAGTTGCCGTTTTTAGCAAATAGCAGCTACAACATCGCTACTTCTGCTATTTCAAAACCAAATAACGGCTAAATAGCTGTTTTTTATCGGCGATAATAGCGGAACCGCTATTCTGGCCGTTATTTTACCGCCACTATTATTCTCAATACCGCAAAGCGCTATTCCACCGCTATAACTACTAGATTAACAACATAGCTCTATTTATATACACATGTATATGGATGTTGATATGAGAAAGACTTGAAACCATATATAACTTCTTATATCTATAAAAAGCTTTCCAAAAATATTGTGATTGTAAATTTATGTAGCTAACATCCATATTTATATATAGATTAAAAAAATAAGTCATGATGGTGGGTTTGGTTTGTGCTTCAGACACTAATCCTGAGGACCCAATAGGTGCATGCCACGTCTTCTTTTACCCAACCACGCGTGCCCACTGCTTCATTTAGTGGCATCCTGTAATCTTTATATGTATTTCTCATTTTTATTGAGCTTTATATATACAGATGATTCATTATTCAGTTGCATAAGTTTTTGAGTAAGATGATGAAAGTAAGCCAATGGCTACTACAGACACTGCTGTGCGTATTAGTATTTCTAAAAATAGAAGGTACAACTGAAGTGGGTATAACCATCATTGAAGGAGCTGTGGCTAATGGAGCAGGTAATCTCAATCTTTATACAATTATATGTATTTCTATAAAACTAATAAATATCAAGTTTTGTTTTTTTTTGACTGTGGTAAATAAAATGGTGGTCTGAAGTTTGTTTGGATGGAAGCCCACCTGCATACCAGTTTGATGCAGGTTCTGGTGAAGGTCTTCACAATTGGCTTCTTCACATACAGGTTGCTATATATATATATACATATATATATATATATACATATATATATATATATACATATATATATATATATATACATATATATATATATATGTGTGTGTGTGTGTGTGTGTGTGTTTATATCTATAGGGGAAGCTTCAAATAAGAAAAAGAATCATTGGTAAACTTGGAGAAGTTCCATTTGAATATGCATATGTGAACCCATGTTTATTCATCTACCTTTTTACTAGTTATTCACATACGAAGATGCATATGTGAGTTCACTTTTCCTTTTACCTAAGATTCACATATAGATCATATATCCATATGTTTTCAACGTTTTTGTCTTTTTCATTTGAACCTCGTTGTATATCTATATATGTATTTGTATATGTATGTTTGGTGACTGTGTTTATGGTAGGGTGGAGGATGGTGCAATTCGATAGAAGACTGCCATACACGAACGTATAGTCTCTATGGTTCATCGAAGAAAATGAAGAGTTCCGACTACAATTTCACTGGGATTTTGAGCAATAAGCAAGACTTAAATCCAAGTACAATATATCGTTAATTAGTTTGATTCGCATGTCTATTTAATTATTATAACTTTGATTTCCACGAAAGACCTTGATAGCGAAAAAATACAATTGTTTTCGATAGATTTTTACAATTGGAATAGGGTCGCAATGAGGTATTGTGACGGGTCATCATTCACCGGAGACGTAGAAGCAGTTGATCCCGTAAGTCACATATACTACATACATATATTGTTATTATACTGTTAGAATATATGGAACCTCATCAGATTACTTTTTAAAAGAGCCATTAAGCAGAGAAAGGAGGTCATTCTAACGATATAATGAGAAAAAATAGTCGAAATCTAATCGAGTTATTGTTGTATAATGATTAATAGTCTTTGTGTATGTTTCAAGGGTACAAATCTTCACTTTAGAGGTGCAAGGGTCTTTAATGTCATTGTTGATGAGTTGCTTGGCAAAGGAATGAAAAATGCATCAAATGTAAAATCCCTCCCTTCTCCTTTATTTTTTTTTCATGTTTCGAGTTTACGAAAATTAAAAAACGATACGAACGTACAGGTTCTTTTGTCGGGGTCTTCTGCCGGTGGATTGGCTTCTATATTGCACTGTGACAAATTCCGAGCATTCTTTCCAACAAACACACGTGTAAAATGTGTTTCTGATGCCGGTTATTTTGCTCATGTGTAAGTTGAAGACGAAACAATCTTTTGATTTCTCTAACATACGTTTGGTCGATCATATGACATGCCAAGTTAGCAAGGACTCAAACGTATTTCTCGTTAACTAACATTTAACAGGAAAGATATATCCGGAGAATATAAGTTTGAGGGATATTACGATCAAGTGGTTACGTTACATGTGTGTTTTCTTCCTTAATATTGTGTTCCTTTTCGGTAACTGTGGATTGAAATTGTTTTCGGAAAGTAATCGAAGTGGAACATATACTTTTTCTTGTGCTTGTAGGAATCATCGAAGAACTTGTATCCTGAATGTACTTCAAAAATGAAGCCCAGTCTCGTAAGCGTTGTTATCTCGCTAACATTTCTGCATTCACGTATTGTCTTAGAACAAAACGGAGGAATGTTGTAACAAAAATTGCGTTGCAGTGTTTCTATCCACAATTTGCCATGCCATATGTTAAGACGCCTGTTTTTATACTGCACTCTACGTACGATACATTTCAGGTTAGCTTTCAACGATATTTTGTGAAAATTGGATAACATCTGTGCTCGTTCTTTACCTTTATTTTGCGATATAAATCGAGGTACAAAACATCTGGGCTACGCCACAAGCCGATCCAAAGGGACTCTTTGCCAAATGCAAGCAAGATATAAATGTATGCTCATCTGATCAAATCCAAAGGCTAAAAGGTAGATGTCTATATAGATTTATATATGACAAAACTCACACGAACTCCTTATGTTTGGGACCCCCCAATCCGACCATATATTGTTGGGCCATTAGCCCTTTGTAACATTTTCTCACGGACTTTTTTGGTTTAGATTTTAGATCGGATTTTTTAAATGCATTGTTGGTCGTTGGAAATGGTTCGTCAAGAGGATGGTTTGTTAACAACTGTTTTACTCACGGCCAGTGCGAGTACCAATCAAAATGGTTGGGTAATCCTTCTTCGAGATTGAACCATAAGGTAAAGAGCTCTCTTGTTGTATGCTTAATTTATCGTAGTTCTTTTTATATTGCTATGGTCTTGTAACACGTCTTCCGCAGGCTATTGCTGAGGCCGTTGGCGATTGGTTTTACGACCGAAGCACAATCCAAATGATCGATAGCCAAAATGTGTTGCCACACTACTGCAATAATTGATCGATGATTTTATGTATAATCTTCTTGGTATATAATATGTAACGATAAAAATAAAGAGATTCATAGATTTGGTATGTGTATCAAAGTATTCGGTTCTTGGCCACCAAAACAACATGATGTGGAATATATAACGGTTTCATCTACTTTCAAAGACGAAATATCGTGTGCGAATAAGAGTTAATGTGATAAGCGTAAAAAGAGATCTGAACCTTTGATCACTTTTGATCTCGCTTCCACCCATGAATTGGGTTGAAATTGATTTGGTGTATTTCATTAGTGTTGGTCTTCAATTAAGATTGATTTTTATCAACTAGATTTAGATGTACTAAAACCATCAAGCATTTAAATAACATGTTGACATGTGTTGTACCATTTATCTCTACCTATACAAGCATTCAAATAATCTTCATATAATACAATCTTCACTAACAGACGAATGCAAGCGAGAAACAAGGAGCAGTGATGGACCATGGGGGTGTATACAAGTTATTAAAGTTGCTAGAGTTCGTTTTATACTCTAGCAAAATATTTAATAAGATAATGTTTAAGACTTATGAATAGAAAACGATTTAATTAAGAGTGAGCTGTGATTTTGTTAAAGAGTGTAAATGTCTAAAACTGTATCACTTTTATTATGAACACTTATTTTGACACACTCTCGTTTCTCCTTCGATCCACAACAAAATTTAGGTTTTCAACCGAAACATATACCTATATGTTATTATTGTTAACGTATAATTTTATATATAATATCTAGTTTAAAGTATAACGGTCAAAAGTGAGTGATGGTTCATCGGAACTGTTATAGTCATAAGGTTGAAGCATTTATAGAGGTTGTTTGTTTACCTCTTAATAGTTTCATTAAGAAACAGTCTTTGTATCGTTAAGAAGTGAATCTTGTTTGACAAAAAAAAGCCTGTATCTTAATGGTTGTAAAACCTTCTGAATTTGTATCCTGACCTCCCTTAACCATTCAACATTATAAACAATTACTGACCAATTATATTTTATTTTGTATTATATAATATCATAAGAGTCTTAGGGGCCGTTTAACAAACACTTATCCGATAAGTGCTTATCGGTAAAATTTGACATTATTATTTACTTACCGGGTAAGATTTTAGTTCACCAAAACGACACTGTATGCAACAATTTACCCGGTAAGGGCTTACCATGGTAAGAGTCAGTCGTCCTCACTTACCGGGTAAGACTCTTGGTCACTCTTACCGGAGAAGATTATCGGTCTTTACCATATTCATCCGATAAGATAATGATACTTGGTAAGCCTTACCTAGATAAGCATTTGCTAAACCATTCTCAGAGTAAACCACTTAATCATTGTATGGTATACCGTTCAACAAGAGACAAAAGGCCCCATGGTACGATGGAAAGAGAGGTTTGTTTTAGAAGTGAATTAGCGAGAAAACGAAAGCTGCTGCGTCTCATGTCTCGTCGCCACTGCTCAGAGGAGGCCACCTGGTTCCCAACGTGTCACTACCTCTAGCCTCTCCCCCCCTCCCAACCGCCTTGCACCACCATTTCCTTCCCCAAACTCCCTGCAATCTGCATCCGCTTTATCAGCGGAGTCGCCGGCATATATCTATCGTTGCCGGAATCCAAATCTTCTTCCACTCATGAGGGATAATGCGGTTGCATGTCTTAAACGGCAAGTTTTTGCAGTAATTGCAAGAAGAGGTATGCTTGCTTAGGTTTCTTTTTCCCTTCAATTTCATCAATGTTTCATTCGCGACTTCTTTTGGGGAAGAATTTAAGGAAGCTTTGCGCTGGCAAAGAAATTCGGTGCACAGGTCTAATTCAACTCATCATTCGCATTTTCCAATACTTGATTTTGTGGAAAATGTTGTTATGTTCAGTTTATGAGGAACGATTTGTTGAATTTGCAAAGCATCAAGTGAAGTGCAATTTTTCTATATGTTGTTATGTTTATGGAATTAATTTTGATGAAGAAAATTCCATATCTTAGGCATTCCGTTAATGTTGATGATATGTTCGTGTATGTGGAACAATTTTTTGCATTCTTCATTACATCAAATGAAGTGCATTTTATTTATTTTTGTATTAGTATTGATTCTATCACTGTATTCATCCAAAGTTGGTGTATCTCGTGGCTTGTATTGCTAACGCTGATAAATGGTTTTGGTTCCAGCAAAAATTGACAAACCATATGAAACTATTGGACTTGGTATTAATGAGAAAAAATTGAAATTGGGGAATTACTAAGTTCTAACTTCCAAAAAATATAGGTTTTTTTTGGACGGATGGAGTGATAAATTGCTTGATTGTCATGGGAAATTATTTGATTCATTCTTCCAGTTTGATATTTATACTTTTTAATTTTAAGTATTTCTTCAAATTTAGATCTCTTATGATTGGATTTTACTATCCTGTGATCTATATGTAGGCATGTTCTATTAATCTTGTTATCTCTGGCTACTATATCTTTTAATACTAGAAAATTTGATCCTCATTTCTCCCCTTTGCAGCTTTCCACAATGCCCATTCCAAGCGAACTGTTCCCTGCAGAAGGCAAGCTGTCTCTTCGCTGTTTATATGTGTGTGTTTGTGTATGTTTCTTTTTTAGTCGTAAGTTGCTAGTGTTTTTGGCATTAAAGAGTGTATGGACTATATTAAGTTCATGCTTGCATTTTCTTCACTCCAAGTTGATATATAGTTTAGCTTTTCATGCAGTTTTTCTACGAGATTATCTAGCGTGCATGGAGAGAAGCCATCAGCGGAGTATGCCAAGTTGAGGAAGGAATCACTTGAAAGTGAATTCGGAAATGCACTTACTTCTAGGTCCAAACGTCTCTCCATGTACTTCAGTTTTGGTCCATTCTTGGCATTGTATAGAGCAGCATATATTTCGTACGAGGTGTTCAAGCTTACTTTGGGGCATTTTTTTGTTCACGACATTAAAAAGCGTTCAGAAAAGGTAGACCAGAACTTGCTTTTCTTTCTTTAAGTCTACCTCCATTTTGATTGTATAGGGGTAGCCATGAGTGTGTGATGGGACCTTGTAACGTGTGGTGACATAATTGTTGTATTTAATAGAGAAATAGCAAAAGGTAACAAGTATTCTGACCTGTGTAACTGCCTATGGACATTATTAGTTAAATAAAATGAAGATACTGATATGCTAATTCTGAGTTATGGCATAAAAGATTGATTTAACACGTAACACCCCCTCCCCTTCAAAAAAGTAAAAAGTCAATGTCCTCTCATATGGGGATAAATATATGCATCACGCTCCATTTTTGAGCATGAGTTATGCATTTGTTTGTGACTTGATGCGCTGGTTTCTTTGTAAAAGAGAGATCATATCTGAATGGTATTTGCCATATGAGCCTATTGTTTCAGCGTCTTGTTGTCAGTGGCACAAATAGGTTTAATGCATAATTTTGGTGATTGTGTAACCGTGATCTTACATACTTTGATAAGTAGAGGGTTCAAATGTAGAAATATCTCTATGGTTCATCCAAGACTATTTATGCTGGCTCAATTCCTGCAATTGCTCCTCACAATTATATTGTACTGGATCGAATTCAAGGTCACTTCCATGTGAACCCTTGTTGTCCAAATTAGCACATATGTTATTTTTTCTTGGGGGTGGTGGTGTTTTTTATATCATTAAACAAACCTATTGGTATTTAGGCATGTTTTGACTCATCTTACAATAAATTGAGATTGTAGGGAAGATGCTCGTAAAGGTATACTGCATGTACATAATTCACTTTGTATTGGTATTTCATTTCTTTATTGTTTGTTAATGAACATAAAGAACAAGATATGTACGGACTTCAAATAACAATAACTCCTTTTCTATTTGATGCAGTTTTGTGATACCCTCATCCGATTGGGTCCTTTTTATATTAAGGTAAGTCCTCTCTTGTATAGTTTGTTATTTACACAATTTCCCTTCGTCGTGTTGATTTATGTGACGTGCATATGCATTCACTTAACTTGAACCAATCTCTCTCTCTCTCTCTCCCCCTGGTCGAAAATATGGAAAGTGAATATCCTTGCCTCCTTGGGTATGTGACCTTGCACAATAAAGTCAGAGGTTTTAGCCACTAGGTTATTTCCTTGGTTTCTCTCTCCCTTTTCATTTTTAATCTTATTGGTGGTTGAATTAAGATCTTTCTTCTTCAGTTGAGATGGTCACTCACAAATCTGCATATGTGCTCCCTCCATTGAATAACCCTTGTCATGTTTGCATATGCTGAAAGTTATTGATCGGTACATGAGGAGTGATTTCATGAATACCTTAGATAATAGCTTAATAGCTTATCTGTATACACTTAACTTTCCATTGGGACACCGTGAACTCATCAAGATATCAATTAAAAATGAGTTCCACAGGGATGTAGGCAATGGATGTTGCAGTTCTTGTTTAGTCCCAATCATTTTGGAAAAAAAGGAAAATAAAAAAAGTGAAAGAGCAAGTGGAAGTTGTTGGTGATTTGTATCACTAATATCATTTAAGTGTAATGAGATTAATTTGTTGACCAATGTAATCATGATAAATATCGAACAAGTAAGGAAGGTGCGGAGTGCACACTTGTTTGAGTTTATTTTGATTTAGGGGCGAAGCCCCTAAACGACGGGGGTCCGGGGGCAGCGCCCCTGGTGGCGGGGTCCAAGGGGCAGCACCCCTGGCTGGGGTCAAATTTTAGATTTTAAACCCGGTTTTTTGGCCCGGTTTTTAAACCCGGTTTAGGGTGCAAACAACTGCCTTTTTGATAGTTTTCGGACTTTTCATTTTCGGTTTTTGGTCATAATTCGTAAGAGAAAAAGGTACACAGATTCATAACGATTCTGCATACTGAAGTTCTGTCAGTCACTAAATTTTATCCGATTGAGATTTCGATTGTACCGTCGAAATACTTCAATCTGAAAGTGATAAACGACTTTCAGTGGATTCCAAGCAAAGTTATTCTAACAGAAGTGGTGACTGATTAAAATAAAAAAACGGTCTTATTAACTTGATTTCATTTCTACTGGCAGCTTGGACAGGCTCTCAGCACAAGACCAGATATATTACCTTCTGTATATTGTAATGAACTTGCTAAACTACAGGTACCAATCTTATAACTATAGAACTTCTAACAAATAAATATTCATCACTCTCACAGTTACTAACATCTACTGTTAACCAGGATCAAATACCCCCATTTCCAACTAAGGTTGCCATTCGTTCTATTGAATCTCAGTTGGGTGTTCCTATTTCACAAATTTTTTCAGACATCAGCCCAGAGCCTGTTGCTGCAGCATCTTTAGGACAAGTGTATAAAGGTTAGATGCTTTCAGCACGTGAAGAGAAGTAGTGCTTTTCTTTGTCTTTGTTTTCATGCTGGTTGGGATTGTACACTCTTCTTGATTTTTTTTGCTCTCATCAATTTGCTTTAGCATGTTCTGTGCTTAGTTGTCTACTTGTTTAAATGCCTTCCTCTTTTATAGACATGAGGAATGGATGGAGAAATGGTAGGGCATTGCACGAAGTATGCAAATCTAATAGGCTTTTCACGTTACTTCAAGTTTTGCAGCTCATCTGCATACAGGGGAGCTAGTAGCTGTAAAAGTTCAAAGGCCTGGTATGTCACTTTCTTTGACCCTCGATGCCTTGTTATTTAACATGATTGGGGGCCAATTAAAGCGATTTGCCAAAGCAAGGAAGGATATAATAGTAGCAGTTAATGAAACGGTGAGTCTTCTAGCAAATGCAACAAGTTTAGTGTCAATATTCAATTGGGAATTTACTTCTTGCAAGCATTGCTCAACTATATTAATACATCACTGGTATGCTTGGGATACGTGGCATGTGGTTTTCTGGTGATTACTCTTCAACAGTTCACGTATGATGTGGATGGAGATTATTATTAATTGATGTTAACAATGTTGATTGATGATATGTAATTGAAACTTCTGAAATAGAAACTGAAGTTTTTTGTCAAGGTTGTTGAAAGGAACACAACTAAGGAAGAAACTTAAGCATGTAAAAGTAAAACATTTGGCAGGTTCACTGAGATTGGTTCATAATGTAGACCTACCAAAATGAAGAAATGAAATATAAATTCATCAAGTGACTGTAAAATGCCGAGTCTTGTTATTTTATGTATGTGAGTCTAAGAATTTAAAGACAAATTTGTTGAGCATGAATAATTAGATATTGTTGCTATATAAAACCATAAATATAGGGTATCTACCAAATTAGATAAATATTCAATCCACTTCAATAGATATTAATCAGTTTGTAAAAGTCAATTTTTAAAATTTGACGTTCTTAAATTTCTGTTCCTCTTTCGAAGATTGTGTAACATATCATATAATTAACATCTATTTAATCGAAGGTAAGCTTGTGCCAAAATATTATCTTTCTAGTACTTACCCAATTGTAAACTTGACTCCATTTTTGGACTAAGGAAGTAATACAAATAAAAATATAAACAATTAGATGAAATTGATGGATAATACAATGTTCTTTAGAAAATAAGTTATGCTGCTTTAGTAGATGCACTCTCCCATGGACAAGTTTAGTAACAATGATTTTGGTAAAGGGAGGAGAGAGGGGGAGCAAATGCAGTGCAGATGATATGAAGAATGATTTAGAAAATGAAGGAGCCAATAGAATTGAACCCTTGCCCCCTAGTTAAAAGGTGAAGATCTTTTGCCAACCAAACCTAGGGGATTTTCTTTTTCTGATGCATATATACATATCAAAACTTAAGGGATTCTTAAGATTCATAGATGGGGTATTTTTTTTATTTTAACTATTTATTAAGGGTGTTGGTGCTTTTAAGGTTTGCCTTTCTCCAAATGGTATTTCTGCTGCTCATATATAGGCGTTTTAGTCTCCAAGGTTTAATTTTTGAATAATTAATAAACTAACTAGAGCGTTGATCGTCAGTGGAATGCTTTATCAGAATATCTCATGATTGCTCTCAATTGTTGGGAGTGATTCTCATGATCCTAGGCCTATGTGGTTGGCTAGTTATTTACATATTTTGTTGGTTTCCTTGAATATTTACTTTTCAATAGTTTTGATGACCTTTATGTTTTGTTGTTTATGTGCTATGTCAAAACTCAAATTCAATTGTCAGTTAAATCATTCAGAGTGACGATCCTAAAGAATAATTTACATCTAATTGTGAATTTACGTTAAACATGGGAGAATATATGGATCTTCTTGTTCATGTAACTCTACAGAACTAGGTTTATGCTCTCCAAACTTGTTATTTGCTTGAGGTGGCTTGTACATGTTCATTCATGGTAATGTCAAATTTGGTTGATTTTAGTCGGTTGAATACCCTTCTATGTGTTGAGTGATGACTTCCCACTCACTAGCTTGTGCTCTTCTGTCATTCGGACAAAGCATATACCTAAGACTCAGATTGACTCCGTATGTAGCAAGTCTTGCATAATGCACATCAAGCTTAGAATGTTCCTGGCCCCATTTAGTGGGGAACTAATCTCTTTGTGCTTTTACCTTGTAGGACACTGCCTCCAATGTACATTGGTCTCCTAGCATCTTACTCCATTTGAGAAGTAGAAGATTGTGTGTGATGGTTTTAGTGCCACAATATTCTATTTGCTGTAATGCCAGAATAGCATCGTTTCCTAGACAAGCAATTTAAATGAGGTTCGGAAGTACTAATTTCCAGACTACATCTAGCGTTCTGTTGGAGATGCTGATAGCAACTCCATAGATTTTAATTATCGAGTGTTCTATACACATACTCTTGTCAAGCCTCTTCGCTGAAAGCTCTATTTATGTGGGTGGTTATAATGGTCTTTCCTCACCATAGTCTATCCATGACATTGACATCAAATCGTCAGTGCTTCAGGAGAATACAGCTAGTGCATCACATTTTCCTTACAGGAGGTCCACTGGGAGTATTTACATTATTTGGCTATTTGTCTATACAAAAAAGAACAATTAGAAATTACAGAATTGTTCCCCCAATGGAATTTACCTTTCTATATATGTTTCTTATGACTTCAATGTATTCATCTGTGCTTTTTCATGACCCAAGATTCTCATTGAATAGGTCAGGCACATGTTTGAAGAAATTGATTACATTCTTGAGGGACAAAATGCTGAGCGATTTGCTTCTCTCTATGGTTTCAGCTCCTGTAAGTGGTCATAATTATTACAATGCTTTGTCTTATGTGTTATTATCGAGCTTCATGGTTAAATGTGTACAGTGTACCGCACTAAAGAGGAGTCCTTCTCATGATTCTTGCAACTGCAATTGCATGTAGAGTTCTCTCTGTTTTCAGGTCATTCAATATTCCATTTTGGACTTGTGTCTTTTTTGGTATATTTTCTTCAACACTACAGCGGTTGATGGAGTACCTGGAATGCTGATCCTTGCCACTTCTCTGTGATATGCTGCAAATTTATTTTTAAATGCTACTTTGCTTTTGTCATTAGTTGCTACAGCTAGGTCCTGCAAACAGAAATCCTCTTCGGGTTCACAGACAAAGCTGCAATGCTGTTCCCATGGCCAAACTTGTGAAACTTCCTTTAAAGTGAAGGGAGATATTTCCCTGGCAGTTCTTTTTCTGATTATTATGAATATAAATTTTGGTATCATCAAATGACATTACCAGCCAACTCAATAAATTATACCTAAAATCAACCAAAGCAGGCACAGTCAAACCACTCATAACTCCAGAGAGGAAAAGAGTGAGTCAACTTTTGCTAGGAAAAGTATTTGAGAAAGGTATGGTGGAAACTATGAATTTCAAGATTTGCAGAAGCCAAACAGACAACAGAAAGTGAAAAGAAGCAGTATTTTTTAACCAGATTCAACACAAAAGCTGTGTGTCTTCTAAATTCGGCTTTGGAGAGGCCACCGTTTATATAATCATTTGTCTGATGATTTGAATTGTGAAACAATTCAAATTTGGGTGGTTGGTGTTTTGTTATTTTTGCTGTTAAAGAAAGCAGACCAGATAGTATTGCTTGGAACTACAACTGGGGTTTCAGAAAAAGTGCAGCAAAGCAGGTTTCTGATGGGATGAAATAGTAAATTGGTGCTTACCCAATTTGCTTAACTCCTCATTTCTTTTCCCATCCATCCTTGCGTGGCTGTACATCCAACATGGGGAAGGACCATTCTAGTTATCTTGTAGTTAATAGGGATAGGATAGCGGTCAATATATTTGATGATTGCAACAGGCGTGCTCACTTTTTCTTATTAATGGCTAATTGGTAGCCACGTGCAAAGGCTTAGAACGCCTGGCATTCAGTTGGGCATCTGCATTTATTGTTATTTTTTGTGGGCTTTCTGCGCTTGCATACCTTCACAAGACTAAACTAAAATTTTCCATATTACCCTCTTTCCAGTGACTTTCGAGGTTGTGCATACTACCATACATGTGCATTATATGTTAATGTTCTGTACTGATTAATAGTCTTAGATATAAGGTACTAGAAGTTTCTGTCACTCGGTTTGTTCTGGTCGGTTGACTCATGTCGCTTAATTTGGTGATTGCATAAGATTGTTACTGAACTCTGCTTACTTCACTTTAGTTCATTGCTATTAAAGTTTTGTAATGGTGTATTGTATCGAAATTTTTGGAGGCTGACAAGGGTGATGATGATAACTATTGCAGCTCAACAGGAAAAAACCTACCCAAAGGAAAACTGCGTTAAAGTTCCAAAGATATACTGGAACTTTACCCGAAGAGCTGTGCTTACAATGGAATGGATTGATGGTATTAAGCTTAATGATGAAGCTGCATTGAAGAAGGCCTCTTTAAACCGAAAAGAACTAATAGATAGGGTATCCAGGACATTCATAGTTCATTTTCTGTCTTATATTTAAATACCTCCTTGGATGATTTTATGGTTAAATACATAGTGAATTTTGTCCATTGCATAATGTTCTTAAAAGAAATATCTTTCCAATGCTAACCCTATTCTGGTTTGGAGGTAAATTTCCCTTCATCTAGTTGAAGTATTTTTCTTTACATGCATATTTAATGGAAGTTGTGTGACAACTTGCCAAAGTGTCAAAATGCTATCTGTTTTTAAATGACTACCAGATGCCCAGAATGCTGAGCGATTTGCTTCTCTCTATGGTTTCAGCCAACTTAGTTTATTGATGGAGGTACATCACGTCATTTTTTTTTTGGACAGAACGTCGAAAAGTTTGGGGCCAAGTATTTTCCTCTAATCCAACTTGAGAGTATTTACATTAATATTGCTATTGGTTCTCACCCTCCAGATCCTCACTCTTTTATCCTCTCGTGCCTTAGCAAATAAGGAGATGCAGCTTATAGCTGATTTATATGAATGGTTTTTTAAGAGAAGTATTTGCTCCCTTGGTTCAAAAAAAGAAGATGCATATTTCTTAATCCATGTGAAGTAGGTGAAACTTAAATTTTTTGTGTGGAGAGTTTAACAATTTTATTCCTGAAGTCTTGAGAATATTGGTCAAGTACATGAATTCATGAATTTGCACTTGGACATGTTTATTTCCTATACTGAATTTAGCCTTTTAGGGGTTGTACTGCTCCTTGATGCAATTACTTGAGGTGGGGTTTTTCCATGCTGATCCTCATCCCGGAAACCTTGTTGCTACCAAGGAGGGGGCTCTTGCTTACTTCGACTTTGGGATGATGGGGGATATACCGCGCCACTACCGTGTTGGACTTATCCAAGTGGTAAGAACTGCTTTTTCGTATTTCTGAAGCAAGTATTCGTGGTAAATATAGTCTAATGTTTATTATATTTTGAAAAGTCCCCCTTTTTGTTCTTATGTTGCATTGCTAAGGTTCAAACCTTGATGGAATTGAATTATGACAATTGATTGTGCTCATCTTACCTTTTATAAAGGATTGTTATCTTGAGTATTGACTGAGGAATGCGTGAAGAAGCACTTATATATGTGGTTCTTACCTATAATGCCTCACCAACATATATGGTGTCCTTGGTCTACGGGGAAGGTTTGAGGTTATTGTTTGTCTGGTAAAAGAATGGTACAAAAACTGAATAAGACGGGAGCTCTGAAATCAATAGTTGGTAGGAAAGCCTTCGGTGGCTTCCTTATGAAAACATCCATTGGACTGTCAAGGCTATGGCAACAAGTTGGGGGGACTGGAGCCCCGCTTCTTCCATGTTGATTCTCCCTCTCACATCGGATCTGCATCAGATAATGTGCCCGTAGATGAACATCAAAACAATATCTTGAGGTGCATTACATGGCTACTACGTACATCTTGCGGTGTTAAGCCAAATCTATGAAATTCTCTCTCTAGGTTTGGATTTCCTTCCTCTCCATTTCAGTTTGTCATGGGATGATGGGAAAAATAGCAAGTCGGACAGGCCAATTAAGGAAAATGATTGCCTTACATGAAAGTGGTCTTTCCATAAGAAAAAGGTCAATGTGTTTGTATATGAGAAACTTTTCTTCAACATACAAGCTCAACCGAATGAAGTTGTGGTCCACATATCTCCATCCAGTTTGATGCCTGGAAAAGGTCTAGGGGTGCAGCCAACCCCTGCCAGCATGGGTGTAGTCCGATTCAAAGAGCATTATTCATTCAAATGCATGTAGATAGTGATGTTATTTGTGAGCTTTAATACTCAGACGTTTCCTATCGCAAAAATAAGCAAAGGAGAATTGTACCGCACTGCTTGTCCTTTATAACCAAGTATCATAAGAAAAGTAAACGATATTTGTGGTGAAGGTGTTTTCTGAACTTTATAAATTAAAACATGGTGTGGGTGTGAAGTGTAAACTACAGCGAGGTACTAGCTTTTGCAGAAAATCTTATAAAATATGGTAGCAGTAAAATACATAACGGTTCTATAAGATGCTTTAGCAACTTCAGCTTTGAAGACACCAAACATCAGATCTAATCAGATCTTATTCGCTTATCTTTTCTGGCATCTCATAGTTAATGCTGTTAGACTAAAAAGCATGATAATTATATCAGTGATCTATGACTGTCATTGATTAGTTTTTGGTGCTGTTGATTCTGATCAGCTTGTACACTTCGTCAATCGGGACTCTCTGGGTTTGGCCAATGATTTTCTCATGCTGGGATTTATTCCTGAAGGGGTTGATATGCTGGCAGTTTCGGATGCACTTAAAGCATCCTTTGGTGATGGCACCAGACAATCCCAAGATTTCCAGGTTCCATTTACTGTTATATTCTATATGTACCAAGATGCTTCGCATGTTTTCTGTCCTCAAGCACGAGTTCCATAACATATAATCATAATGTATTTGCACATTCACCATAAGAACTACTGTGTGTGGATATAACTACATATGGATGTGCGTCTAGTGTTGGAGAAGTGCATTTGTGCTTGTGTCAGCATGTGTGCATCTAGATGCTTGAAAACAAAGTCTGTTTCTTCAGTTAGAGAAGTGAAACATTTCTAGCATTATGGCTTAGATCAGGATCATGGTCTCTGGTAGATGTGATGCAGGATGTAATAGTCCCCTACTAGATTGCAGGTCTGCGAAAAGAAAATTTTGGCATGCTAGCTACAGTTTTTGTGTGAACAAATACCATCATAGGCAAAAAAAACCATCATCCCAAAATATATGCAACAATTTCTTTTTTGGGATTTCACAAAATAAATGCGATTATTTCCTTCTTTTGTCGATGTTTCAATCCAAAATTACTTCTTTGCCCATTTGCAATCATACCAAGCATTGGTGGCATTGACTTTTGTCCATAAGATTCTTCTATTTTGTCACCATTAAAGGTTATTTTAGATGTTTGACTAATAGTCAAAACTCTTTCAACAAACCAAGTGCCTGGTTAAAAGTTGCATATATTTTGAGATGCAGGGAGCACTAAAATTGATGTCAATTTGATTCCAGAATAATCAATTTCATAATTTTTACCCTGTTATTTTCAAGTGAGACTAAAATGGACTTTTAAGAGGATTTCTTATTTTGATGCTGAAGTTACAATATAGATGCACTCTCGTTTTATAAGGATGTGTTTGGCACACGAGTGACGAGACATAACAGTCTGGACAGGGCAAAACATTTGTTCATCATTTGGTAAGACAGAACTGGACATGATAGAACAAATAAAAATGACCAATTTACCCGTAAATGACCAATTAAAATGACACCAGAACAAAAAGTTTATGTAGTTTCCAATTTTTTATACCTTTCTATATTATCTTTTTTATTATTAATATTTAATAAATTACATAAGTTAATGAAAATATAGTAACCGTTTAAAAATTAATATTTTGAGGACGTGAAAGTTTAAAGAGCATACACTACGATAAACAAAAATTAAAGAATGAATAAAATGTAAGAGTGATGCGTATTTGATGTTTTAGAAGAGAATTAAGTTTTATTTTGAGGTTATATTGGTAAAATAAAGGTTTGTTCCACCTTGTTATATTGGTAAAACAGGCCTGTTCCACATAAAAGTTTTACCAAACGTGGAAAAGTGATCAATGTTTTGTCCTGTCCAATGTGCCAAACGCATCCTAAACTGGTACAGCATAGGACCTGGGTGGGACAAAAATGCATTTAATCTGTCCCTCCTAGGAACAAAAATAAGGGTGATGAGACAAGATTGGTAAATTACCAAACTACACATGTCAAATTAAATACCTAAAGTTTTCTGAAGTTTTTTCACCCAACCTACCTTACTCTCTCCCGCCCAGTCCTGTCCCTCCACATGCGAAATGCACCCTAACTGCTTTGTTTGCATGTCCTGAGATTTGGCCTTCGTTTAAATCAAATGGCAGGCGATAATGAACCAACTTTATGATGTTATGTATGAGTTCAACTTCTCTCTTCCGCCGGATTATGCCTTGGTGATAAGAGCACTGGGATCACTTGAAGGGACAGCAAAAACATTGGATCCAGAATTCAAAGTTGTCGAAAGTGCATACCCTTTCGTCATTGGAAGACTACTAGCAGACCCCAGTCCTGACATGAGGAAAATATTGAGAGAACTCCTTATCCGTAATGATGGTTCCATAAGATGGAATCGGCTAGAACGGCTGGTAGGTCATCTCTTTCATCACTTCTATATGATATGTTTTTGCTGATACTTCACATAATCTGTGCCTGTGGACTAGGAAACGACAATGTTGCTAATGATTCTTTTGCTAATAATTGCGATTTTTTCTGTGTCTTGTGACCGTTGTGATCACACCTCCTGGGGCCAAGTTCAAACGAGAACCATAATATCATGAGAATCCGGGAACCAACTATTCATGTTTTATTCATAATAAATGTCGTGATCGATATTCTCTACAAAAACCATTCATAATGAAAATACATGATGAAAATGCTTGATATTCACGATTATTCATCATGAATAATACATGAAATAGTTGGTTCTCAGTTTCTCAAAATATTTATAGGTCTCATTTGAACTTTCCCCATCACCCTGCCATATGAACTTACATTTAAAATCTCAACTTACAGGTAGCAGCGATATCCGAGCAGCCCTCTGAGACAGATGGGGAAGTTGACGATACTCATAAATCATCTTCAAATCCACTGGAGTGGAAGTCGTTTGACATGCATGCTGTTGTTTCTGCTACGGAAGATCTTTTCAAGTTTATCTTGTCCGAGAAGGGTTTCAGGGTTCGTCTTTTTATCGTTCGTGATATAGTAAAAGTGGCAGATATTTTTCTTCAGGATGAAGTTACTTCTTCCATGTTCGATGAGAACCAACCAAGACAGACGGTGGAATCCGAGGTTGGTCTGATATAATCATCCTAATTCAGGATTCCGATGGCTGTTTTGCGGTTGTTATATATTTGCATTTTTGTTTCCAGGGGGAAGCTACTCTCAAAAGGGTGGTTAACGGATTCGGGTACTTTTGGCAAGCTGTGAAATTAGCACCCGATGTATGGGCGGCTATGCTAATTCGCATGGCATTGAACCCAGAGGTTCACAGATTTTATTACGACATCATTTCCGCTTTGTTCATGCATTCTAGCCGCAGAGTTCCGGACACATTCTGGATTTCGGTATCCAGGCTTCTGCACAAATTGGTGAAACTTAGGAATTCCAGTTATTAAGCTTTTTACATCATCATAACTTCAAAGGGGAAATTCACATATGCATACAACTCTTATGGTAAATTGTATAGGAATCATTTGACCATTGTGACCCTAGAAATGGATTTTGTTGAAGAGGTGATTAGAGAGATTGATGGCTATTTAGTCATTTGAAACAATCTTGTGTTTTAGAAGAAATACGAAGAGGGATAATAAGGTTGTAAAATTTGATTTTGTAACCAATGAAACGACTCCTATATATAGGGTAATTTACATGTGAATCTTGTGCATTAAGAGGTTGTACCTCATGTTTACAATCTTGTATTTGGTTGTGTTACAGTTTGTTTAAAGAAAATACAAAATAAAATGAAAGAATTTAAATTATCGGATTTAAGAAAAATAAAAAAAAGGTTTTTTTTCTTGTTCGAACGATCCGATTAAAACAATGGTGAAACCGTAGAAATGGCAAAAACCGGTCGAGGGCCGGGCTGGGTCCAAATTGGTCCCGGTCCAAGATTTTCCTTTTGCAACCGGGCTCATGGTCCGGTTATTTCCGGTCCATGAGACTCTTGTCATATTCACAATAGATGGAAATAGTCAAATCATGCCATGTTTCACTTCTCATTTCCTTGCAGGTTCCTTTCCTTTTGCTAGGAAGGAAGGTCCACGGGTCAAAGTCTTTTTAATTTGTCTTTGTGCTATATATTTTTACATTATGTACTAACGAGCTGTTTACCAAAAACTTACCTGATAAACGCTTGTCGGTAAAATTTAACACCATCACTTGCTTACCGGGTAAGACTTTAGTCCACCAAAACTGCATCATATGCAATAATTTACAGAGTAAGCGTTTACCATGGTAAGAATCGTCGCCCTCACTTACCGGGTAAGGCTTTCGATTCTTGTCTCCATCTTATTGGATAAGATTCTTCGTTTTTACCATATTCATCCGGTAAATATATTATAGTATTAATATATACATATATATATATATATATACATATTTTAAAGGGAAAAATATATATATATGTATCATCGAAATTGACACGAATTAGAAAACATCGGCCATCAAGAATATTTAATCACCTGTGTTTTTTTCTTGTCCCTTGCATAAATTCGCGATCTTGTTCATTTTTTTTTTACACCATTCACACAAAGAAAATATTCTTTACAAAAGAAGCTCTTAAAAAAACACTTCAAGATTCTTGCGTGGAAAAAAGGGTTTTTCAAAATCGATTAGAATAATTGGAATGATGACTGCTGACGGATCATCATAGCTTCTTTTTCCAGTTCTTGTTCCAGTAGTTTCTTCGATGATGCAAACATCCCAAGAAATTGCCAACGCAGTTGATGGTGATCAGAGGAATGCTTCAGAGGTTCTTCTTTTGCCATTTTCTTTTTGTCTGCTTCTTTTTATTTGTTTTTGCGATAACGATTCTAACTTTTCTGTTGTGGGGTACTTCTTCAACTCTAATCGTTTACCCTTTTCTATAAAGTGCTCTTAAGCTTCCTGATAGCTGAGATTTAACTCAAATTTGGGGTTTCTTGATGCCTCGCCACCTAAATCTTATAAATGGAACTGGATTTTTCTGTTTGATTTCACTTGTTCTGAATCTTTATTTAGTCAATCACCCGCAGAACTCGTATAATTTAAGATCTTTTTATGATTTGAAATCTGGGTGACCTATGTTCTTGTAAAAAGTATGAGAAATTAGGGGCGATCTTTTAGGGTTATGAAGAAAGATTGACAGTACAATTGTAAAGAATCTGGTTAACTCTCAAATCTGGCTTTTTCCATGGCGAATGTTATCTTCTTTGAAGAAACCCTCTTGAAGAAACCTTTTGAAATAAAGAGATATACCTTGATTTCGGTTTTTCGATGATTACATGTCATCTTCTTCAATGACATAGCCAACTACATAAAATTAGTGAATATTGCTGCAAATATAATGATGCAGGTATTGAGTTTAATGTTGTTTAATTGCTTAGATCTAGAATGCTTGAACTCCTAAATAACTCGGGCTACGTTAAAACTAGTAATTGTTGTGCAGATTGATACCAGTGTCGTGGAATCTGCTAATGAAGTTACAAATTCTGGTAAAACGACACGTCGTTCAGATTTATCTCTCAATATACCTCCTAGACATGCACATTTTGGTAGCAGTCGAAATGGGAAGCCTTTTATCCAATCTCCTGGTATCTTATCAAATGGCAATTCCTCATCACGCGGCATTTTTAGAGGTTTAAGCTTTAAAAAGAAGGATCCTTCTAATGGTGAAAGTAGCTCTCTTCTCCCAAATGCAGCACCACCTGAAAGCCCTGTTGTGGCCAACAATATCAATCCCGCTTTACATTGGAATCGTTGTACATCCCTTCCGGTCAAGCATGCATCAAATCAATCCCCTTCAGTCACCACGCCTGTTTCAGCTAGGACATATAGTGAACAACAAAAATCACAGGTAACGTATTCCCGACAATTGAATTACACCCACAAACTTATACATAACTCATTATTTAACTTGCTGGAGTTTAGTTGCTAAAATGTAAATTTTTGTTACCATTTTACTATCTTGTTCACACTTTGTTTCAAGGATACTGACATGTTGTATCAAGAAATAGTGTATTTTAAACACCGTATGATGGTACTAAGGGAGTGGACTATTGAGCATCACTTAAGGAAGTTTTTGAAGATAAATTTGGTTTAATGCTTGGAAGTTTGACAACTGAAGCTACATTCTTTGATTAGAACAAAAGAGATTTGCATACATTGTTTATAACGGTTTTGTGTTTTTTTATATCCTGCAGATGGGGGCGGTGCAACCTTCTGTTTCGAGGTCCCTCTCTGTGCCTGGGCGAAATATTGTTATTGTAAGATCAATCTCTTTTGCGACCCGTAAGGCTAATGATCAAACTGATAGCGCTGATGGTACGTGCGGAAGTTTTTGATGCTCAATTGCCGGTGTTGAACTTTTTTCTATTTCACAAAAAGTGTAGTCATGTGTGCTTATATTCCAAAAGTGGTCATGTTCCTTACTTGCAACTTATTTTGAAATATTTCTGTGTGAAATGAAGATGACATCAGTATTGAAGTGGAAAACGACGAAGAGATTGACGAGGAGGAAGCAGTTTGCAGGATCTGTTTTGATACGTGTGATGAAGGAAATACACTTAAGATGGAATGCAGCTGCAAAGGTGCTCTCAGACTCGTACATGAAGAATGCGCTATTAAGTGGTTTAGTGTCAAAGGGAACAAGAACTGTGATGTTTGTGGTCGAGAAGTCTCAAATTTACCAGTAACTTTGCTTCGGATCCCTAGTTATGTTCAAAGACAAAACATTACATCACAAAATCAGCAGGGTCTGAATTCAGGAACAATAAGGTTGCCGATTTCTGAGCTTTCAACTTCTTTCAGTAACAAATATAATCTTGTTAAAAGGGTCATTAGCAAGTTTAAGGACCTCTTTGTTAGCAACTTAATGAGACACAATTTATTTGGTCGACTATACATGACTGTTTGGGAGTGGCTTAATAATATAGAAAGTGGCTTATTCAATCAGCTTCTAGGGGGGAGCTTTATGCAGAAAACCAAGTATTTTCAAAACCTGCTCCTCCCAATTAAAAAACACGCTTATTTCATCTATGAAAAAACCCTCCCAATCTATAAAAACAGCTTAATCCACATAGAGAGCTTTATCCATTCAGGACTTGATGGAAACCAACCAAACAGTCCCTAAATCTTGTTAAAGGGACCATTAGCAAGTTTAAATCTTGTTAAAGGGTCATTAGCAAGTTTAAATTTTTTAAAAGGGTCATTAGCAAGTTTAAATTTTTTAAAAGGGTCATTAGCAAGTTTGAATCTTGTTAAAAGGGTCATTAGCAAGTTTAAATCTTGGTAAAGGGTCATTAGCAAGTTAATTATCCGTTGGTGTATTAAATTCTAAGTGAGCAATTCCTTCATGTTTGGTTTTGCAGTGCTTGGCAGGATTTTGTGGTGCTAGTTTTGATAAGTACGATATGCTACTTCTTTTTCCTCGAGCAACTTCTGGTGCGCCATCTTGCCTTAAATCAACGATTATGTCCAGTTTGATACCAATGTCTGTTCTATTCACGTTCTATTCTTATATATACTCGATCATTTGCAGATCCATGACATGAAAACTCAAGCTATTGTGATTGCAGCACCTTTCTCTTTTACATTTGGCCTTCTATCATCTACATTTGCGGTTATTCTAGGTATTACTTGCCTACAAGTTTCTTGTGATATATATGATGGCGGAAGACAATTGAGTTTATTGTAAACTTGTTCCAATTACAGCAATCAAGGAGTATATTTGGTCGTATGCCGCTCTTGAATTTGCACTTGTTGCTATGATTCTGCACTTGTTCTATTCTTGGGTGAGTCTCCATTGTTTTCATTTCTCACTTGGTGGATTCTTGATTCATGATTAACATGCTCATTTTGTTTGTTGCAGCTTCAGTTGAAGGCAGTCTATGCAGTGATGTTATCGTCGATTCTGGGGTTTGGACTAGCTATGACGCTCAACGCGTTGTATATCCGCTACTTTGTTTGGCGAGCTCAAGTTCCTCGAGAATCCAACGACGTTTGATGAGTTATATATCTCAATTTGATATGGGTGTAAATATCCATCAATCTAGCTTGAGATTGGGGGGTTCGTGCAGTCGTGAGTTGGTTTCCAATGACCTCACTGATCGACTGTGTGAGCGTTGTGGGAGAAATACCGTATAGAGTTTTCCCGACGAAAATGTTGTTTGAAATCCATGATGTTTTGTATTAAAAAAGGGTGATGTTATTAACCGCTTATTGTCAATATATGTTGCATTCTAGAAAATTATTCACATGTGATGCTACTAAGAATATTTTATAAAAGGAACAGATTACTCGATCTATTTCTGTATCGCTCATGATATATATCATTCTGCGCTCATGATATATATCATTCTGCGCTCATGATATATATCATTCTGCGCTCATGATATATATCATTCTGCTGGGCCGACACCGACACATCATGAAATTGGTTATGTTCACAAAATGTCTGTTACATGATGATAAATTATAGATAATATACGAATCTTTCAATATTTAGCGGGATTTGAAATTGAATTTCTGCAATCCCATATTTGGTCTACAAGAATCTAATTACTGGAATTTCTAAAGAATTCTATAAACATTGTATTCAGAAATCGAAGATAGTTGGTATTTCATAAGATTTATCGATAAAAGAAATTAATTTATAAATTTCCTAATAAAAATAATGAATTTATTACTGAATGAAAATAGATATAAACATCAGCTTGACTTGCAGTATACAAGTCAAAGTTGATTTTAGTCAACTGTTTCTTAACTTGTTGAAGATGATGTCTGAGCTGGATAACATGTTACCCTTTATTTAATTATAACCCACTTGAATTCAAGAAATGCAACCTTTTCTGCTCTTAAAAGGGTATGCAAGATTGGGTCTTTTTGGCAATAACCAGAATGATGACCATCATAAGACTATGCCAATGGCTGTGCTTAATACTACTAATGTTGTCGAAAACCGAATGCTCGGATGACGTTGAAATGACCTTCATTCAGAGCGCTGTCGTTAAAGGAGCTGGTACGTTTACGTTTGTTTCCTCAAACTCTCTGTTTGTCTTTTCGTCCGTTAAGAATGGTTGGATGCAGTTTGCTTAGATGGAAGCCCACCTGCGTACCAGTTTGATAAAGGATTCGGGGAAGGTGTTGATAAATGGTTAATTCACATTCAGGTTAGTCGTGTTGTAAACCAAGTGATAGCATACAAAAACTTACTGTAAAATGTGATGATTTTATTCAAGCAATTGAGCTGCCATTTATAGGCTTACACGGAAC